AGGACACGCTGCGTAGCGTTCGCGTTAAGCTTGCCGACGGCTGTACATGCCACGCTTCACTTGACCCCGTTTTCCCGGAAGAAGAGCTCCTGGATTCGTTCTTCCTGGGGAGAAGCCGTATCCGTGGATTCACCCTGCGGCTTTGTCTCGAAGCGGTGGATGCAAGTGCTCCGCTCTCTGTCGTACTGTTTTTTTCTTTGTTCTTTCTTTTAAAAGAAAGAGCGTGACGATACATTCAGTTTCCGATAACGGCCAGCCAATTGATTAGTTCGACTTCCTGGCGGCTCCGGCTAAGACCGGTCGCTCCGCGACATACTTTTTTCGTCGTGTTGTGAACCGCTGCCGCTGCTTCAATCGACCACCGAGCTACGCGTTTGTACTCGGGACCGAGCCCGTCGGTGGCCGAGGTCTATAGAAAGGGGGGGGGGGGGGGGTGCCGCATATGCATAAATGCATATGCGGGCGGGGATACCGTCTTCACCGCGCACTCCGCAAATGAGAGGCGCCTCCATCTCGCCACTCGACCGGACACGGCGCTAATTATAGTGCCCGCGGCGCGATGCCGTTCGAGGGTCGCTTCGCCGTTTCAAAACGGTGCAGCGTTGCTGAAGCTACGGAAGACCTCGGCCAGTCGGCAGGACGACCGACTACTTACGCACGCAACCTCGCGAAAGTCTCTTTTCCTCCATGTTTGGAAAGCGTCAACGAGAGAGAGAACGGAAGGAGAATGTTTAAGGACGGCCATCAATTGATCGTCCGTTTTAGAAAGAGGGGAGGAGGACGATTGAAATTGGCGTAGGGGGGCAAAAATTTACGCCTGCATTGTTTTGCTCCGTAGAGCAAGCATAGCCAAGCAAAAAAAAAATCGACGCGATGGCGAATTGGGCTAGTTGGTGTAGGTAGTTGGTTCCCGCATCGAAAATAATTAGGATAAGGCGCCCCGAAGAAGTGGACAGAAGTGGATAGGACAGCATTTACCTTGTTCACTCTCTAGCGTATAAGCGTTGTCTACTTCTAATGTCCACGTCTTCGGTGCGCTTAATCCTGGTGTTAAAAAGACAAACAAAAAAAATGATTCTTTGCCTCTCTGCCTCTCCCCCCCCCCCCCCCCCCCCCTGTTTAAAGTGGTGGAGCAGCTGAACACGCCTTGTGATATACCCTGTCTTTTGTGGATTGCGCTTGTCCATGAACGTACCCGTCGTAAGGAAAGTAATATCTGATTGAAAAATGTCATTGATATTCAACGACGTGACGGAGCGCGCCTGCCGGCACCGCCCACTGGGCGGGCTTGCCGCGATTGATACAGTCCGCCTGTTGAAACCAGTACACTACTGGTATGGGCGTGCACAGAGTTCTATATAACGGGAAGCTATATTTCCCACAACGTGTGAAGGCATGTGCAGGGTTTTTCATAAGGGAAGTGGAATACCGCAGTGCATCCCTCCCCCCTTCTCGAAAGCCACCCACTGAAGTCTAAGGGTCAGAACGCAGGGCTAAGTTAGGTTATTAGGGAGGTAGGGGAGGGGCAAGGGATATGTAAATATGCGTGCTCCTATGGAAAGATGCATATTCACCGCAGCGCGCTCTACCGCGAAGAGCGAGGGGGCAAGAGTACACTGAAGGCAGGAGGAGGGAGCCTACCCACCCCCCCCCCTCCTGGTCTTCCCGACCCCCTTCCACTCAGGTCCTTACGACCAGAACGCAGTACAAAGACCAGGTATTGTGTAAGCTGATGGAAAGGGGTGAAGGGCGAGTCCATAGGAGGGTTTCCTTTCGGTAGGGTGGGGGGGGGGGGGGCGAAGATTTTTTGCAAGGCACCCCTCCCTATTATGAGTATGTATATGGAGCTGACTTTGAAACCCCCTCTTTGGTGAATAAGGGGGGGCGTACACCCCCCCCCCCCCCCTACATGAGCAAACGCCTACGGGTGAAGCAACACAGCGTGCAAGCTCTGGGACAGTTGTGTTGACTCTACCACGAGCTTTCAGTACGTAGCGTGCTTCTCTGGCGCCACAGCGCTGCTAAGGGCACTGCACCGAACTAGAACAGATTTCACGTTATTGCCGTCTGTACGGCTCCCTCCCCACATACATACATGCATGCATGCATAGTGCTGACCCTGTCGAGCTCGAATGCCGGTTTGTTTGCGGAGCGCCTGAGAATACCGCGTCCGTTTTTGCGGAGCTGTCATAAACACGCGACCAATAAGCCCTCGCTTCACGACACCTTTCCCGTTCTACCGACGATCCCCTCCGTTTACGAGTGTTATCTGTCTATATGCGAGCTCATAAAAACCCGCAGACCGCGAAAGAATGAAAACCGTCGTACTCAACATTTTTTTCATCTACGTTCCTCCGCCGAACGCTCTTCTCTTCGCCCTCGTGCTCTCAAAACGCCCGACTGCCCCATCTCTTTCTCCGTTTTGAGCCCTCATTCACTTGCACAGAAGCTGCGTACAAAAGGGTTGGAACGTACTGTAAGGACGTTAGTGCCGCAAGAGAGGTTCGTTTGATTGGTGCCCCCAACACGGCACATGCAGTTGGCCACGCCCAGTGGGAAGGACATAAGATTACGAAGTTTAGGGTCCGATTCCCGACTAGGGCTCTCTCCAGAGATTTATACACTATCACCAAAGCCCCAACAGCTCCCTAACACAGACACAAGAGCATAGAGAATTGGGGGGAGGAGGAGGGGGCGCCCTTGAAATTGTCATTTTTTCACTTTTTATGCCATGGCGAAAGAAATTTCAGGGGGGAGGGGGAGCACGGGCCTGGTGTGCCGCTCCCTGGCTACTCCACTGCATAGACACACCACTCTACGCACCCTATTATTCTACACCAAATGAACTCCACTCATCTCTTTTAAAAAATGCACTCATTCACACCCCCTTTGCATTCTGGGGCACCCCTCCCGCCCACCTAAATATCGAAATTTTGGATAAACCCCAGGGTCTGCTGCGATTACACCAAAGAGAAAACGCAGGGAAAGGAAGGAGAGGCAGGGAGGTCAATCAGACACCTTCCTACTTTGCTACTCTACTCTGTGGAAAGGAGGTTGAGATGCAAGTTCACGGTTATTGAAAACCCGGCAGACATTCGAGACCAGTTCAATCGTGCATAGCCACAAATCGCATGTGTGTACGTTTGCAAAGATGTTGCGACGTAAGGGCAAACCCAAGTTACGATGACAGTTGTGATCGGTACGGTTTGATGGTGTCGTTACCAGTCATATATAAGAAAGGCTTGTCATGCTTTGTGCGCATACTTTTAAAAGTTTGCGGACTACCATGTAAACAAAAGTGACAAGGATAGTGGCACCACATGGTGTCGCAGAGTTAAACAAGGCGAAGGCAGCTATAATTTATATTTGCGAGCTCTAATTTGCTGCAGGTGAAAAATCTTTTATTGCAGCATCATTGTGAAAATTTCGCACCTTTCTACGTTTTTCCTCCCTAAGAAGACTCTTGAAACAAAAAAAAAAGGAGGGGGGATAACTTGTCGCACGATAAAGCATCGCACGATGCCCCTGCCACCACCTTGTAACCCGACATAACACGAGCTCCCTAGCATGTTCCAGGCTTTGACATGCCAAACCTGTCTAGCACGTCAAACTGAAACATTTAAGATGCAGATCAGTGCTCCTTAGAGTCAAACAAGGCCTATACAGAACCACAATAAGGTGATCTGTGAGTAAGCGCACGATAATGGGAAAGCTCTGCTTTCGAGAGGAAGGGTGAGTGGAATTCTGTTTTGCAAGAATAGATTACTTCAGCATCACAGAGACATGCTATTCCTTGCAAACACGACTGCCCCTGATTGATCTATGTACTGTGCTCGTTGGTTTGCGATGTAGACTTGGTGAGATTTGGGCGCACGTCTCTCATAATCACGGCGTCTCTCGTAATCATATGGTGGTTTTGGGACGTTAAACCCCACAAATCATCATGTAGACTTGGTGAGAGGCCGTTTAAAGGGCCCCTAAACCACGTCCCATATCTGATACTTTTGTTTTATTTCTGAAACAGGGTTTATTTGCAACAAGTAGCACTTGAGATGAAGGCTTATGGATACTAAATCACCGCTGAATGCATGCATCAGGTTCAGAATGCCATCACAGTTGGCACTGCCAAACGCAGCAGTGCGACATGCTTCGAGTGTGCCACAAAATAAAAATAAAATGCCGTGCTTTTCTCTTGGTTTTTCGATATCCCCCCCACCCGAGTTCGTCCCCCCATCACTAGTACAATCTGATCGTCTCAGAGCCAGAAAAAAAAAACCTGTTCTGCCTGCAAGTACGCACACTCCCTGCTTACTCGCACGCTAAGGAGGAACATTTAACCAGGAGGAGGGACAAGCCAACAAACGAAGCGAGCTGAAGGAAAGAGTGGAACTAGCGAAGAACACATTTCGATCGTCAAGTGTATGCAACGCGCTGTTATGACAACACTGCTGTTACGGCAACACTTGCAGACTGGTGCAACACTGTAACTCCACGACTAAATTACAACCTCTGGTTGGTTTGGGGTGATCATCATATTTTGTAGTGCAAGAGCCAATCTTGGCCTAAGAGCGCCAAATGGTACTTAAATTTGTCGGAGATGACCTGGTCAATGACTGTGGCAGTGTGTAACAATAGCTGTATATAGGCCTAAATACTTCCGCTGTAATGTGCATAAAACAAAAATAGCTGTTAAAGGAATGTTAGGATTAATGAGACATACAATGAATGTGCAGATATGGTATGCATAAGAGAACTTATCAAAGAAATTGTAATAAAGAAAGGACATTATACCTTGTCAGGGTCCTTAAAAGCATGGACGACGAGCATGTGCTGTATAGTGTACAACCATCGCAGCAGCAGCCTTTCAAGGAAGGCTGTGCTACGAATTTTTTTTTTACTAATAATCAGTAATTTGGTGGTTTTTAAAAGGTACACTGACCCTGCAAAGCAACTATAACCATTGGTAGACGAATAATGATTGACGATTGACTATCTCGTAGGGTGGCGAGAAGGAGCTGAAGAGCATCCAGAAGCACGCCCTGGGCTCTGTATCCCGGCACGAAGCTAGCCTTCAGGGTGACACCCTGGTCAACCACAGGGCAGCCCACAGCAAGCGCCAGCGGGACCCTCATAGCACCGACATCCACCTCCAAGACCTGGCCCACCCTGCTGGACAACACCACGGCCATAACGCGGGAGGACACGCCCAGCCACACCATGGTAATGTATATGTTTCAATGCTTATAGTGTGGAGGCATATTAAAGAGCACACTAAAGGGAAAAAATTAGTTTGGACTAATAAATTATAGTCCGAAAACTTGAGCATGGCTGATTGCACTGCCGAAGGTTCATTGTTAAACTTCTTAACAGTTTTTTACAAGATTTCATAATTAATATTTTGCTTCAAAACATGATGCTTCAAAACATGATAAATACAAAGCACATATTAAGTCAAATTAGCATAGTGACGTTTATTGTTCCAGGGCTTACTAGTGTCGTTCTTGATTCTCAATATGACAGAATCACCGAGAAACTGGCGAATATCATCAGGCTATGTTAAATGAAATGCCTTGGTACACCCAGAAAGGGTACCAACCACAAAGGCTGCGAGGGGGGGGGGGGGGTCAATTAATGCTGTGTTGGACCTGAAATTCGCAAAGGAAGTCCAAACATATGGCATGGCAAAGATTTTTGGCATCTGAAATTTCGGTCGTTCTTATATATCGATGCCTACAAAACAGATTTGTAATTCTGGACTCGAAAGCAGCACACCATTGTCCCGCAACTACCAGTTGAGCTTCCACAGCTGTTGAAAGTGGAGGAGTGGCGGAGGAAATAGCATCTTTGGCTTTCACATGAGCAGTGGTGTCGGCAACACTTCGGTTGCACCAAAACACGTGCATAAATACAACTAGGCCTCTGCATTGCCTCATTCTTGATAAGACAACTATAAAACTCCACCCTGCCAGGGCTTCATCAACCTAGCCAGAAGAAGCACTTTGGAATCCTCTACAAGTTTTTTTTCTGCAATGTCACTTAGATGCCTTTGCAAAATATTCTAGAAATATTCGAGAAATATTCGAAAGATATTGCATTCGATTCACCCTCGCACTTTAATATTCAAATTCACTTGACACTCAACATTTTGCTATTGGCACAGCTTTACCTTTAGTCCTTTCAAGTTAGGTCAAAATTATTCCACTACAGTTAAAAAAAAAAAAAATTCCGCCATATCCACGAAGTGAATGATGATGAGTGGGCGAAGCTCCGGAGGTAAACCTGGTAAACCATGAATCCTCTGTACATTTTGCCCACTCGATTTTATTACATCGCTCCCCCTAGCGTACGTCGCCGCACTAAATCGAACGATTGCCTTCAACCAATGACACGCGCCATATGTGACATCATTCCTATTTTATAAGATCTCGCGTCTTTCATCAACTACAAGTACCGCTTTCTAGTTTATAACATCTTGCATCTTTTCATCATCAGCTACAAGTACCACCATCTAGTAAACACTACAAGAACTAAACGAGAGGTGGCTACATACAGGAGACGGTACCGCCATCTAGTGAACACTGCAAGAACTAAACTAGAGGTGGCTACATACAGGCTACAGGGGACGCACAGCCCACGCCCTAAGGAGCTTCGTCCCTAAAAAAGCAGCACATAAGGCTCCCCCTATGCTTCCCTTGCTTTAACTGTTCGTTTGTTTAGTTTAGTCTCACGTCCATACTTGTCTCTCTTCTTTCAACCCCCCCGATGCACAGAGAGGCTGACGCACGCCAACAAGCCTTCCAAGCGGAGCCACGACAAGCAGCAGCAGCACGAGCGCCACTACACGGTGTCGATGCCCGTCCGCTCGGGACACCAGATCCACCGGCCCGTGGCGCACCACTTGAAAGAGGCCGAGGATTCGCCGCGCCCCTACCGTCTGCACACCAACAGCCACGCCCGGGCGGCACTGCGCTACGCCAAGCAGAGTCGACGCGTCCACAAGGACTCTGGCAAGGAGCGCAAGTTCAAGAAGGCCTTCGAGAAGAAGCAGCATTCCAAGCCCCACTACCTCTGGTAAAGGGCACGAAAAACAACCACGCAATGCAACCCTGTGGGGAGGGGGACGGGAGCTAACACGCATCTCTTCTTGCGCCAACAAGCAAAGGAGAAAAGGGCAGCTTGCGCTGAACTGTAAGACGCAAGGTGACATGTACGCAATAATCGCAGCTAATGCAAGGATATAGGACACCTTCAAGTTTTTCATTATGCGCCGAGTAAAAGAGTCGCAACCAAGAAGACAGACGAACAAAGCTTGACGTCTTCTTCAGTCTCCTTCTTGTGATTCTTTCAATCGGCACATAATCGAAACTCTGGCACGGATCAACTAGACCCAATTATAGCCCTAAAAGCACTTTTATGGAACAGGACTGAATGCCATTGCAAGTGAAACTGTGAACATTGAAAACGCAATGTATTCACATGCGTCAAGCTTCAGTCTAGAAAATTTATGCCTCTTGCTTGTACAACTAGTAAGAAGGAGGTTTATAGACCGCGCTAGAGCACTGCATGCTACTGTATTCGGGAGAGCGATACAGGCACAGCTTAGCACAGTGCCATAGAAGACTCAACACTCGAATGTTGAGTGTTCTATGGCGCTGTGCTAAGCTGTGCCTGTATCACACACATGTGCTCGATTGTGTGATAACTGTCATTCTGGCACTATGACCTTAACGCAGAGTGCGCAATTATGAATGCACCAATGCAGGGTGTCTAAAAGTGAGACGTTTTTTTTTTCATAGAAGCTGTCTGTCATAGAAGCTGTTTTGTCATAGAAGCTGTGTTGAAGGAAAAGGAGGGGAAGGTGTAAACATACCAAACACAGCTGGGCAGCTGTGCAAAAATTATCAAAATTTGTGAACATGTAGCGAATCAAATGTAGATCTTCCCTTTCCACCGTCGCAATCATCCTCTCAGAAGTGATGTTCTGCACGCGAACATCAGTCCTAAGAATTGAGAAGCAGGCAGGCGGAAGAAGTGCGTGCGACCAGAATATGGGCGGCAAGCGTCGTACGTCATGTCCGCCATTATTGCGTAGATGCCACCTGTCGAAACAGGCCAGCTTTCCCCGTTACAGACTCCTGCCACGAGTCTACATGATAGGCAGAATTCAAAATGTGTTCAAGTTGTGCTCCGTCACCCTCTGGGATGCCAGCGTGGCTCCGCAGCCTTGGGGAGAAGAACCCTTCCTCTCCCCCCCCCCCCCTTTTTTTTTTGTGGGGACTGAAGCTGGTGGGCGTGATTTAATATGCAGTGGGAGTATGCTCATCACAAGCTGTTTTTGTTAAGTGTATTTTGGTGGTCAGATGTTGTCATACAAAAGTAATTCTTCAGTGGCTTGTCTTCTTAGCTGTGACAGGGACACGGTTTTCAAACACAGGCGTTATCTTCCGTAAAAGCATTGACTGAATCTGTGACGGAGAACTTCAGATAACGTTTACAGTCCCATAGGTTCCCAGCCACAAACCTAAGATCACTAAATCATAGGCACGGCTAGAGCTAGATGTCTGGCAATGATGGCCAAAAGTGCATTTAAAAGCCATTTTAATAGTACTGCCTCACTGCGGCTGACTTTAGCCAACTGCACGGGATGACAGCAAGACTGCTCGAAATGTGCTCAGTGCAATGTAGGCATTTTACACTTAAAATTCACTTTCCACAAGCATAGTGTCGCGCTTCATAGTGCACAATCGTGACTGAACCAACCTGTGCCAATGCTACTGTACGATCAAATGAGAGAAACAAAACAAACAGTTTGAGAGACAGACATTAAAAAGTCTTTGCTACAAGCAAATATGCGAAAGCTTGCACCTTTTTTTTTAAGCTTCTACGTAAGCTTGCAGGAAGAAAGCACCCTTTTTAATCGATCTCTACAACCTCGCAGCGCGACTGATAATTGAGTAGGTTATACACTTGCAGGTGCAGCCACTGTTTCCAAAGAAACAAAAAGGCACACCATAAGCACATGCAAGATCAACTTGCAGATGCATTAGGAAGTGCTGCAATTTCAAGCATGTTACTTAATAGCACGAAACAAACTCTTAGAAATGCTTCGCCCACCAGAACATCCTTGTTTATCAATATCTGCTTTGTGTTTGAGATTGTTGCTTGATTTCTGTTACTTTTCGTGCACGTTGATGCCGATTACTTATAGACGGTTTATACTTGCATTTGCTATCACATTTTGTACTCAGTGCAAGTAGCTCATGCAGTATGCAGTTGTGAAATGTTGCTGGACCTTGAGTCTAGCATTTCGAATTAGCATGAAAACTGCATATTTTCCATTTAGGGGGCTTCCTGACAGCTGCTTGTCTATGTTGACAACTTTTGTTGCTTGCATAGCGAATGAAGTCCAACACCGCTGAGAGCCAGACAGGCCTCAATGTTACTTTTGCCAGATGTGTTAGCGCGGTTTGTCGCCAGTTCAATTCTCAAGAAACGGCCTGCTTACAATGTTAGCACGATGTGCTTGTTGAGAGGCATCGCAGAAATGTTCTCCTTTACAATGATGCTGCTCTTTTATTACGATCCCGCTGCTTAAGAGAGTGGTTCATGACGAAACGTGAAGCACTTGACGTTCCAGCAGAGGCACGGCCTTTTGTTCACTGCATCGAGGCAAGCTATAATGGTCGCGTCGTCTATCTCAAAAAGGTCGACGACCGGGCCACCTGGTTCCTTATTATTGTTGCATCTGGTATGCGCACTATTTCTACCCCAATCCTTCGATAGCATATACGCATATAATTATTATCGATGCGCATGCATGTTGGTTGTTTTGGTGGAGGTTTCGTAGCATTCTTTTTGCCTCTTCCTCAAGAACAAACCTTTTCGCTTTCCGTGGTCCGTGCGTTCCTTATTGCGTGCGTGACTTTGTCCGTGGTCACCATTTATGAAATGCTCTGTACAACATTGCTTGGTGTGTTTCTTTTTGTAGCTTTCTCTTTCAGTGTACGATCAATTCTTAATAAAAAAATCAAACACTGACAAGAACTGTCATCTTGCACTTTGTTCTTCACTGAAACGTCCAACAACACGACTGATACTCAAGCCGGCTATGGCGAAACAGGACGCACAGAGTATGGAATACCTGTTTCGACATGGAAGGGTTTCTCGGGTAGGTTGGCAAAAGTGTTCAGCCAAAAGGTCTCAACCAAAGCTGGGTATGGAAAGCACGTGACCGATCCCACAGGTGCACACAAGGGCTGCGGCATAGGAGAGGGGATGTCCTGACTCTTAGAGAAGGATATCACATGAGAATACCGTATTTTCCGGTGTATAAAGCGCACCTTTGTATAAGACGCACACCCCAGTTTTTGCAAGTTTTCATGCAAAAATTAATATATAAGACGCACCGGTGTATAAGACGCACCTACATTCACTCACTTTCCGCAAAGAAACTTCATAACGTGCAGTTGAGCGAGCATTGTAAAATGCCGTACTTACGTTTCTGAGCGCCAGTCCGTAAGAAAACTTATACTACACCTAACTTGTGAGAAAAAATAATGCGCACCCACTGAAACGTTCCGCACGACTGCAGGAAAACATTTTATTCCTCAAAGCCCTCAAAGTCCTCGTCCTCCGACGCGCTTTGGAATAGTTCAGCGAGCTCTGGCGGCAGTGACGCTGGGACTTCCTCTGTTTCCTCTTCGGAATCGCTGCTGCTGCTGCTGCTGTCGTCGTCGTCGAGGCCAGGGGCTGAGGATGCTAGCAGGCCTGCCTTGCGGAACCCCGCAGTTACGGTGGCCTGTGACACCGCACACCAGGCTTCGCGCACCCACTTTGCGACCTCGCAAAACGAAGCACGCCTCATGCGTCCAGTTGCGGTATAGCTATGCTCGCCGTCGGACATCCATGACTCCCACAGGCGCCGCAGAATAGCCTTGAAACTGCGGTTCACCGAGATGTCCAACGGCTGAAGCATTTTTGTCATCCCGCCTGGGATAACCGCAGCGGTGCAGTTTTTTGCCTTGATGCGCTTCAAAGTGAGCTCCGTTATATGCGCCCGCATGCTATCCAATACCAGGAGGCCCTTCTTCGCATGAAAGAAACCGTCCGGTCGCTTAGAAAAGCATTTTTCAAGCCACTTGCCCATCATCTCTTCGTCCATCCAGCCTTTCACGTTCGTTTCTATGACGACACCAGGCGGGAAAGACTCTTTCGGCATCGTCTTCCGCTTAAATATAATCATTGGCGGAAGTTTTTGCCCGTCGGCGCAACATGCCAGCACAACCGTGAAGTGCGCTTTTTCGTGGCCGGTAGTTTTGATGGTGACAGACTTGTCACCTTTCGGTGCCACACTCCTTTCCATTGGGATGTCAAACGTAAGTGGCACCTCGTCCATGTTTATTATATGGCTGTTGCCGATGCCATCGTCTTCAATGGCTTTCTTAACGAAAGCCTGGAATCTTTCAAGCTTGTCCTTGAAATCTGCTGGCAGATTCTGGCACATGCTTGTGCGGGCCCTCATCGCCAGCGCTTTGCGGCGCATAAATCTGGAGCACCAGGACGGCCCGCCAACAAAATCAACGGCGCCCACTTCCTTAGCTAGCGCCTGCGCTTTCAGACGCAGCTGCACCGTTGACATCGCCCTGCCTTGGGCACGCTGCTCCAGTATCCATGAGTGCAGACGTCCCTCAAGGTCTGGCCATCGTGCTTTCTTGCCGCGGTCAGCTTTCTTGTCACTCTTCATGGCCTGAAGCTTAGCAGTCGACTGTCGCCATGTGCGGACCATCTTCTCCGTGACGTCGAAATGACGGCCCGCTGCCCGGTTTCCGTAGTCCTCTGCATACTTCACAGCAGCAAGCTTAAACTTCGCCGTGTAACTTTTCCGTTTAGCCGGCATACTGCAGGTGAAGGTAACAAAGGCGCGGACCAACCGAACGAATGAAGTTGCAAATGGCGACTAGTCCAACTCGCTGAACGACAGCGTAGCGGTGGTAGCGGCAGTAGCGGCCGAATCCGAACCAAACCGCCGAACCCGTCACGCACCTATCGCCATCTTACGCCGATTTCACTCACTGAGTACAGCTCTCTATGGTACAGCCTCCGAAACTCGCGCAGCTTCAGTGAGCTGAGAACTCGCACGCGACATACTTTTTTAAATTTTTCCATTTTATGTACTTTGGTTTTGTTTTAAAACTGTAGTACCGGCACGTTGAGTGTTCGTTATTATAATTATGATGCATAATTCGCATCGGACTGCTCTAGTGGTTTAAAAAAAAAGACTAATGAGCATCAACACGAGTTTCTCCCAAAAAACTACCAAAAAAAGTGTGTATAAGACGCACCGTTGTATAAGACGCACCTCCGAAAATTTTGGAAAAAAAACGCGTCTTATACACCGGAAAATACGGTAGTCTGCGCACTACGTAAGCTCATCAACATCTTCAACGCGTAGTCATCAACATAGCATCTAATACCCATGTCGCACGGGTGATTTTGAAGGCTATAGAGTCGGTAGTCTGTCAACAGAACACCCCACACCTCTGTTGAAGCTTCGATGGATATTGAGCGACAAAAACGGAAACAACGCAAACGTGTCAACGTTGACAAGTGGTAAACATGTGGCCACAGTTTCACTGCTCACCAACTTAACCAAATAATTAAGTAACTTAGTGAAATGTTTAAATAAATATAAGAGATGAATGGGTGCTCTTAAGAGTACAGTCGAACCCCGCTACAACGAAACTGATGGGGCGCGGAAAAGATTTTGTTGAAGTGAAAATTTCGTTGTAGCGAAATCGGAAAAATATAGCTGATCTGAGCTAACGAAACAAAGGAACGTTTATTCTCGGAATTTAAAAAATGTCCGCGGCTTGCTATTCATTCCCAGCAGCGTCGGGACGCGATTCTCACCCATGCATAGTGAGGCCATGGTGAAAAGCACGCTGAAACACCTAAAACCACCTTCGTGAACGAACCAAACAGTTGCATTAACACGTTAACACCAGCAGCTGTCTCCCGTCAAAAGTATCCGACAACGCCGAGATGGAGGCAGGGTAGGCAGGCAGATGTAGCCGATTTCGTTGATAATGCAGATGAACAGCCGCTCTGATTTGTTACCACACTGGGCAAGTGCGAACATAATGATAAACATAGGAATCTGAAAAGGCATCGTTCCGTGGTTGCACCCAGCAGCTTCATGAAGGGAACCATGAACTGAGCAACTGAGCTTCAGCTTCGGGTCGGCTGCGACTCAAGCAAGACAGAGGCAAAAGCAGGGCAGTCTCATTGCCATCGCTATCGAGCAAAGGTGGCGCCCGTGCTTGCTGAACAGCGGCGGTATAGCGCCAGTTCCTGGTGGTGCCAACGCTTGTATTAAACTTGGACGACGCATTTTCAGGCTCTGAAAATGCATCGAAATGTTAAACATTGGTTTTACTGCATAGAAATAAGTATCTAAGCCTGGAATTGCATTGTAAAATTTCGTTGAAGCGGGATGATCGAAGAAAAAGTGTTCGTTGTGGGGACAATATTTATGCATTGACTCCTATGGACTGCTGACGGGGGATCGTGAATTTTCCTTGTAGAGGAAATTTCGCTGAAGCAGAGCTCGACTGTATCTACACTAATTCACTTATAATAAGATGGAAACAAAAATAAAGACTTGCAGCGCCAGGCAACTTCTGTGAGAAACCCCTGCACGACTCAACAGCCATTGAAAACTGCCAGGCAGCAGCGCGACAACTCTATAGAGTCAATGGAGCTGCGGTGTTTCGATGGCCGTCATCATGGCCTTTCAAAAGTGCTCATGCGACACAATTATAAAAAGTGGGCTGAATGTGTGGCATATCAGTTCGCCTTCCATTTCTGTGGAGGCAATGTTGCAGCAGGATGCATAGTGATACTTTAATGCCAAACAGAAACATTCATGTTCGCATCTTGTAAGAACATGCATAAAAATCCTCGGCAATGTTTTCTATTTAAATATCAAAGACGCCTAATGCAGTCCTTCGATGCATGTGGAGATAGCGGCAGTCTCTTGAAGTTCCTTGTCACAGAAACCATTTTTATTAATCCAAACGCAGAGGTGAGCCGTCAAATGATTTCATAGGCTCACATGAAGCTGTATCCAAGACTGCCGCGACAAATGAGGCCAGCACAAAGCGCACTACCATAAAAACTGAGTACAACTATCGGCTTTCCTTGAATATGGTTGAGTGGTGGTGCCGCGAGGTTATTCAAACGATCAAATTATTGAGCGCCGACTACTATCGGAGAAATCAAATAACAGATACTCAACTCCCATATCAAACTATTTGCAGAACTACTGTTCAATCGGTATTTGAATATTCAGGTATTTACACGCCTCTAATACTAACCCAAGATCAAGTTTAGAAAGATAGAAAGATAAGTGGGTTTTAGTGGCCAAAGTGTGCCATGAACAAAGATGACCAGAGAAAAAAGGTAAGTGGTCAATTGGCCTTTTTCTTCAACCCCGGCACGCTCAGCATGTGGTTATGCGCTTCGGAGCCTACCGTCAAGTTCCGGCTCGGAGCATGCGTATCAGAAACATGCGCACTCTACCTGAGCGAGCTGCCGGATGTCGGTGATTCTCTCGGACATGGTTCGCAGGTAGCGATTGATTGCCATGTAGTCCTCCTGGGCCAAGATTTCGGCCTCGCAGATCTTGAAGATTGCTAGCGCAAAGCGGAAGAGCACCTGAAAGCAACAGCCAGAATTGACATGGGCACTGCTGTTGCACCCTGATGTAACAAGTGCTGATACACTGAATTAATGAATACTAATTAACAAGACAAGTCATGAATAATGAAAATTGGAGCTTTCAGTTTTCTTGATCTTTTAATTGTACACTGCAATCGAAAAGACTTTGTGCGTCGTCTTGCCCCTTTTCTGTTAAAAATGTGGTATTTTTTAAAATTTATCTCTGATAGAAGCATGTAAAAAAATAGTATAACTGATTATCCTTTATGTAACAAGTGTTTTTTTCATTGGCTGCTATTTTGCTGTAGGCCTGACTGTGTTCGTGTCAAGCATTTACAAGGTGTCACACTTAATTCGTATTTCTAGGAACCCTAAACACTGGAAAAGTTTCCTGATTAAAGACAGGTGCAAACAAGAAGACAAGATAGAAGTGAAGACCACAAGTACTGGAAAATGAAATGGTTTTTTTGGCATAACTTGCGGGCTTTAAATTTATGTGTTAAATATACCTTTAAATGCTTACTAGGACTACTCTTCACACTGCCACACATCACATATATCCACATCTGGTGTCTGAGAAACATGAACACGATCTTCCATGCTGCGAGCTCAGCAGTGAAATTGTAATCCCTTAGCAATCTTCATTTCGGGTAAAGGCACGGCAAAATCGGGGCCAAGGATGATCAGCGTGCCTTACATGAACAGCATCAGCTGTTTACATGTCGGCGCCTGACTGAGGCTCTTGCGTCATTCAATTTTTCATCGCGTCATACATAGCGTTGTTTGCAAATGTAAGTTCAGGTCTCAATTTGTGCCAGCTATGACTAGTACACTACAGTGCACAGTAGCATAGACATTTGGGTGAGTTGGTATGGTTCCGTTTCGATGAATATGGTAGCACGGCACTAACGGAGACGAAGAAAGACTATCCAAGGACAAGCACCTATATGTAAACTTCATTATAACAAAGTTGAATTTTATGCAAAAACAGGTTCATTACATCCAAACATTCGTTATGAAGGTATATTCCTAACACTCTTATCTATTGCAAGACTACATTTCATTTACTTTATTATAACCGATATTTCGTTATGTCTGGGTTCATTATATTGAGGTTCGAGTGTCTGTCCTTGCATGTCTTCATCTTTGTTAGTGCTGCACTACTACATTGATCAAAATGGAACGTTATGTGCATGATTAACAAATGCCAAACACAAACAGACGTGCTTATGAAAAGGAAGCATGACCGAAAAAAATTGCGAACATTCGAAGAAACCCGACTTGTTTTGCTGTACACTATGCACCTTGTTTCCCTCGTAGAGGAACACATCCCAGATGTAGAGGTACGTCTCGGCCGGTATCGTGTCCACAAAAACGGTGAGGAACCAGTTGAAGGTGAACAGGGACAGGTCCACTTTGTTGGCCTCCAAGTGGGCACTGAGGCGCGGCAGCTTTTCGGCCATCAGATCTTTGAGGACTCGCTGCACGAAGCAAACAAGGTTCCTATCGAGCCGTGTACTCCTGCTCCTAGCTCCTTAATTATACAAGCTTTGCACAATCTGGATGCACTAATTTCATTTGGCCGCTACAAACATTTGGATATCATTTAGATTTTGATGCTGCGACGTATTAGCTGGAAACACTACTAGCGATTTATAGTTCACTCTCTCCTCCTTATTTTGAGATACGGCACCCGGCAACATACGTGCGATGTTTGAACCACATGGCTGGCAGCACCCATGCCCAGGAAGGTTACTGTTCACAAATCAAGCGAGCACAATGGTGTGTACAATTAGTGACAGCATTTATGCTTCGTTATCAAAGGAGTGTGAGCAAGCCATCAGGACTTTCACAGGTACATTATCCAGCACTCTTAAAGGGGTCTTGAAACTATTTTCAAGTAATCATCAAATTACTCAGTATTAGGGTTTATTTCCCAGTGAATAGATTGCCGAGAAAAATTACTCGAATTGATCAAGAACGAGTGGAGTAACGGGGATTCCTTGTGCGCTTCCTCTGTTCCCAAATCCCGAAGAGCTCATGGGAAGCTACTCAAGGACACGGTGGAAAGATGAAGATGTTGCATTTAAACATCATTATAACAGTCTCATCTGCCACAAAAATACTTCATCAAATCTAAAGTCACATGCGCCACGAAAATATTTCGTTATATCTGAAAATTTGCTAAAAGCGATTATTCCTAAGACCGTATCTATGACAAAGCTATTCTTCACTTTGTTATAACTAATGATTCGTTATATAGAGGTTTGAGTGAACATCAGTGTGCATCATGACGACGTCTCCTCTATTTTATCAATGCCAGCCAGATGCGTCTGATCAAGCCGTCTACCACTTAATCCTTCAACCCTTTCTTGCTCTCGCCCATCGCCTAGGCTTCACATGTGCTTTTCGGTCACAGGAGAAAGAACCCCTCATGCAGTGTCTCACGATGACCATCATACAACATAATTTCTTGCTCAGCTGTGTACAGATCCGTGGGGTGGCGTCTTGCATTCCACGTGTTCACAATATTGGTGGTCACGCTGGCTCTGTCAGAGATACGGTGTTTTGAGATACCGTGCCACCGTTCGTGGCGCTATGCGGGCATCCAATGGGGAAGTGTCACTGCAAAGCCACTGCACGCGTTGCTCTGTAATGCGGCGGCGGCATTGCTTCTAACGACAAAGAAGGAGCACGAAGGAACTAATCTGACAGACGTACGATATTGGAGTGGGAAATGCGTCTATGGCATCTCGGGGAAAAAGCGTTCGGAAGCTCGTGTGATGCAAGCAGCGCCGCGCATCATTTAGCGTAACATCACGACCACTCTCTGAACTAAGGCAGACAGAAGGCTCCTGCTGAGAAGCGCGCGTTTGCACTGGCATCGAAAGAAATAAAGGAGGCGTTGGTCATGACCTTGAGCGCGCATCATGTAACACTATCGCTGTCTCTCAATGATATTCCCTACACGAGTGTGGCTCGCTCTGTAGTGTTAGCAGACTATGGAGTGTGGCACCAGAAAATGGCTGAACCTCATGGCAAAAACGCATCTGATACAAACACGCTTTTAATATTATGTTGGCTACTGGCCAATGGCATGCTATCTGTCCTTCCAAATCAAACGACAGGCGCCAGTAGCTCTGAATAGAGTGAGATTAAGCGTTAGTATGAAAAGAGGGCGGCTGAGGAAAAGGCAACACTGTGTGGCACTTCTAACTGTTCTATCCATGCACAACTGCAAGATTTGGCTTAACTGCTCATAGGTAGTGTGTACTATCTGCAGGACATGTATTCTCACCATCCCAAAGAGTTGTTCATGAACTCCTTATACAAGCTGCTACCACGAAGGCTTACCAAGTAGCCCAGGTGCAAGCTTTTCTAGGTAACTCCTCCAAGAGTCAAAAAGATGATTAAATAGAAAGCAGGCCCGTGGCAGCTATTGCAGTACTATGGTAACCTGGCACAAAGGTAACCCAATTAGGAATGAAATGCAAGGCAAAAGCTGAAAAAAAAAATTCCCTTTAAAACCAGATGAGACTATTGCTAAGGCTCACCTGGTCGACCTGAGAGGCCTCCAGAGTGCGGCTGTAGTAATCGCGTGGCATGATGTACTCGACGACAGCGACAAGGCACCAGAAGGCGTCCTCTTCGGACATGAAGAGCAAGGCGATGGCTGCCAGCCTGTTCAAACCCTGCACATGATCACATTTTAGGGTTATTCTCCGCTGCAACTTGCACCAATCCTATCAATTATCAACATGTTATCAATTTTGTGTGAAAGGTTGGGCTACCGACACCAACAGCAAGAAATTACCCCTTCGATACTTTGGCCAGTTTCCAGCCGTTCATGTCCAAATCTACCCCAATGAAAACAACTGTTCAGAGGAACTTGATGGATGTTTATTTCTTGCCATTGACGTAGTGTTTAATGTTTTAAGCTACAGTACTTGTGCTGATTGGGGTGCCAGAATAAAGACTGATGTGGCTGTGTTGCATAGTCAGAAGGGGCCCGACAAGGGACTGCAAAGGATTAAAGTGAAGAATGCAAAGTTAGGCTCATAAATTTAGACAGCGTACTTTTAATAAAGACTCGTTTACTAACTAAATAACTGGCATTATGCAAACATTGATGTAAGAACATAGCTCACTGACCAAAATCCCATGCAAACAATTGAGAGCACATTTATTTTCCCCAGAGATGAGAGAAAGAAATTGGGAAGGTGACACTGTGTAGCCAGCTTTTAGAAGCAGATATTTCACGCCACATCTCAATCTACCATTTCACCGTGCCAAGCCTCAATATGGCAGATCATGCGACCCCCAATACACTCAAACCTCGTGATAACAAAATTGCAACTTACACTAAAATAGGTGTTATATCCGAAAATTTGTTATAAAAGCGCATTCATAACACTATTTACTGCAAGGATATTCTTCATCCACTTCCGTTACGACAAATATTTCACTATAAGTTCACTATATCGACGTTTGAGTAGTTGCTACAGTGGAAGAAGGCACACATTCATCTGGTGCATGCACACAAAAAGAAGACCACAAAAAAAAATGTTCTGCACTAACATTTCAGCAAACAGCCGAATGTTACTAAGCATCTAGTTCCAGAAGTTTTTTTTTTTGCCACATTAAGTTGGGTTTAGTGTACAGACGCTGGAACGCCGTACAGCAACGGCACATGTGCAGCTGGAGTATCTGTACACTTACGTCACAATCATTCGGAAACACAACTCCTCTAGCATTTCTCCAAATCTGATACAGGTTTATTAAGCAGCAAAACCTGACAAGTGCTGCAGCTGTACCTGGCAGTATCCTACAATGAGATTCCTTCGGCTGTAGGCGAGCAGCACTCGGCGAAGGGGGTTGATTCCAGGAGCATCGGGAGTTTCGTAATGCCGGTTGTTCGGCAACGTTCTCAGCAGGTCGAGTTCGATCTTGAAGACGCAAGAAAGGGCAACAGTTAGTCAATTATACCTTAATCTACTCAGTAGCATTTGAAAATTCCGCTTTGAAATAAAACCTTGCAGTTTTTTGTTTGCAGCTTAGAGGAAAGACTTATGAATCCACATAAATATACATAAATTACACTCAACTTTTCTACTCGGATGTCAACAAAATCAAACTCGTAGATGTGGGAACACAATTGTACAGTCACGTACATCAGTTTTAGTTCTTTGAAAGAGGCCGTGAAAAGATGAAATCATACCGAATTATAAGGGTTCAAAGGAGTGCTGCAACACTTTTTCCAAGTAACCATTGAATGGCTTCATTAAAGATCATTGCACCACGAATCGACCAGCACAAATATTTTGACAATCCATCGAGTATGAGCGAGTTGCAGATATCGGGCACACGCTGCAATTGCTTTCTCTCTGCTCTCGTCCCAACAAGCGCGCTGGAAGCTAAGCAGGGAGGGGTGGCACTGAAAATGGCATGAGAAAAAGTTACGTCATGCGCTCGTCATGACCTTAAGTACTTTTTATTAATTTTTTTCTTCGAAAGTACAGCTTCCTTAGTCTGCAACCACGAGCACGCACGCGCTGACATGTGGTGGCCTTTTGTGTCCGTAGCAGAAACTATGCAGCCCAATACACTCAAATCAGCCAATGGTCGTGAACTTCAGGTTTATGGCGCAGTCATTTGGGTTTATGGCATCATTTGTAAAAAGAAGAGGGAACCATTTCTATGTGACTGAGAATTATTTTTAAATTCCAAGCCTCGTGCTGCGCTATAATGTTTGGCTCGTGTGTTCTCGGGAGCCTCGATTATCGATCCGCAGCATTTTCTGGCCATGTTGAAAAAGTGTTGCTTGCAGGTTAAAAATGCGGGTATTGTGTAGTTAAGGCACTGTTCGGTATACACTTAAACCTCATTATAACAAAGTTGCATCTTACAGAAAAACAAGTTTGTTGTATCTGAAAATGAGTCATAAAGGTCTATTTCTAACATTATATCTGTTGCAAGACTACTTTTCATTTACTTTGCTATAACCGATATTTTGTTATATCTGGGCTCGTTACATCGAGGTTTGAGTGTTGGCTGAATGTGGTGTCGCTACTAACCAATCCTCAAAATGTCTTGTGCCATAGCTTAGCACGATTTGAGGTCATTTTGTGGGCAAACAAAAGATCAAATCACCTGTTTTACAGCAGGGTCGCAGGTATTTGTCAGAGGCGGGGACGTCACCAAGTCTTCGTAGTAACCGGTACCTTTTTCTGCTCTTTCCTGACCAACGTAGAATTCAACACACCTGATGATCAGATGTGTCAACAATTATTTCATCTGGTATATCGCTGGGCAAATTCGAACCAAAACACCAACCGAAGTACTACATAGATTGGCTTGCTAGATGAAAAATATCTCTCACCCTTTCCATATCTGGCTCCTGAACTCTTGGGGAATGCTTGTACGTATGAGGGCCTTCAGCTCTGGAGTCTTTTGGAGCGGCCGCCCAGGGGCGATGTTGGCTCTGTAGTTCTCCCATTTCACTCGCCACGAGATTTGAAGTGGGTCCTTCAAGCAAAGACAATGACCAAGTTCTGTTGAACACTTTAACAGCAATAGCACCGTAAACATGTACAGTACTTGCAGATTAAAAAGCGAAAATTTCGAGCTATGTAATGCACATACCTTCGTTTCAAGCGTCTGCATTCGGTGTCCTATCAGTGTGATTTTTGCTTGAACAGTTGCGTTGCGGCGAAAATTACACTAAAGCCAGATTCGCAGCGACATGATATGGTTATCACGAGCAGTCACTTATAGCAGTCATAACAAAAAACACTGCTTTTCAATTGGTGAACACTTTACGACAAGTGCACATACAAAACCAACATATGTTTTTTGTGGTTGCAACTACAGCTCGTGCATTTTAATGTAACACTATCGTGATCAACATAGCACAGTAAAACATAGGACAAGAAATACTTCAGTGGTCTGTTCGGATGATGAACAACTAGTTCACGGTATTCTTGCATGTTGTACTCATGACATGTGCAGTTAGGTTCGTGTCGGTCACGATGGAGGTCGGCCAACAAGCCCAACTCTCATCTTTTCTACATTATCAACCATATCCGTAGCGAAATGGCACAGGAGTTAGTGCAGTTCAATGAGCATAGCAAAAAATCCACAAAGAACATTTAGTTATAGCATACGAGGTGGTATAGCATTCTTTCACTTATGTTTGGAGCAGTGAGAAAATTTGCCGAGAGGCGATTTCCTCAGTCCTTTGGTCATGTGATTAAAATGTCCTGACTGGTAATTACGCAGTTTTTAGGCAACCGGTAAAGAAATCCACACCTTCAAGCTATTGTCTACGTGCCGCCAAGTACTTGGTCATTGGCGATTGATGATAACTTTTTTTCGTCTTTTTTTTTTTCGTACAGAAGCTGCAACCAAAACCACTTTATTTCAAACGAACCCTCATGTGATGAGATAACAGTCACAATCTAGTCTTGAAGGTTAAGTTTAGACTAGCTAGTATTATAGACTTTTTTCCCCCACGAGTTGCACGAGGGCGGTATAAAGAGAACGAACTGCACACCATTTTGTCAGTGTATTTGTACTGCTTTTGTGCGATTTTCTCGCTAAAAAAAAAAAAAAGCTCAGGTCGTGACTTCCTTCAAGCTCTAGCTTTGCCTCTCAAATTTCACTTGTTTCGCGAAACCGACAGCTTCACGGTTACAGCCATGAGCAGCACCGACTAACACTCCCCAGGTATGATGCATGCACATAAATACCCCACAAAGTGGACAACGGGACGACCGCTGCCATAGCTCAATTAAGAGCATTGGACGCGTAATCTGAAGGTTGCAGGTTCAAATCCCTGCTGGTGACAAGCTGTCTTTTTGTCCACCTTACTTTCTTCCCATATGTACCACAATTACTACAATACACAAAAAAAAACTTCAATTAACGCTTTCACTGCGGCAAGCTTTTTTGAGGTCTCATTTTATGTGCGGAGTTGCCCGCCTGTGGACTACAGGGCATATCTAACAGGTAGGCAGAGAACCATCTATGGATCGCCAGTGGGTCATGGCGTCTAACACCAGAAAAAGTATATTCTGACAATTTATAACCTCTTGTAAACAAGAATCCCACCTTTGCGTTCATGTTTGATGAAGTCTGCTCGCCAGCTAGCACATGAGTGCTGAAACGTCAAGGCCGCACGGGACGAGCACATTCCATGAACTACCGGCGATCCATGCTGCAGTGCTCGTGTTAACGTCCCCTATACCTTTCTTGGCTTCACTATTTGCTGGCTTTTATTAGGGTTATGTCAAATAAAATTAAATTAAAAATCCATGGGGAATCTTCTTTGGGAGTTGTCTAAGTGGTCTGTAAGCACTGCATTTTATTGTACGTAGCAGCCGTCCCTGGAACGGCCTTTTCGGGTGGCATTGGCATCGCGTCTGCGATCTCTTAAGCACTCGTGCGCCTGCCATAGCGCACTGTCCTGTCGCAAGCACATTCCACTGAAACGAGTGTCATTCGAATTTTGCAAAACTTGGGAATCTTTCTGCGAAATTAGAGATTTTTCTTGCGCGTGGGTGCTGCCTAATGTGCTGTGTTTATCTCTCTTCCCCTTCTTTTCTCTATCTTTCATCTCCCCCATCCCCCTCCCATGCGCAAGGTAGCAAACCGGCTGCCTATAGGCTGGTTAACCTCCCTGCCGTTTTTTTTCCTCAGTTTTCCTTCCTTCCTTTTTTGGGAATTTTCCTGATGTATAGTCTTTCCAGTCAACTTTACAACTTGCCCTGCAGAGGACATCAACTCCAACTGCACAAAATGCAACGAAGCCCTCACGAAAAGTGTTATCTTGATATGTTTGTTTTGCACCACAGGTATTTGCAGTCATGCAGGTCACATATGTTCACATTTTCTATAACGTAGTGACTAAGACACTTGCCTTCAAAGCGTAAGAGTTCAGGTTTGAACCCATGCACTCGAATAATACTTATTTTCTTTTATTGATTTATTCCATTACAGTGACCATCATCTTATGCAACAGACAAACGGCGGACAGAGAGATTTTTCATTTGTTCTAGATAAATATATGCTCGTGCATTTATATGTCAAGAGGCTTCAGAAAAGTAGGCTTGTGCGAATATTCGAATGCTTCCAATATTCGAATGACTAGTTGAGTATTCGAATTCGCTTCGATTCGAATTTAAATTATCGAATATTTTCGAAGTATTTGCAATAACCAAATAAGTGTATATTAATCCGCCTGTAAAAGTGGTTTCACTGCAATGTAGGGGTGCTAAGCCGTGAAAGCATCTGTCCAAAGTAAATTCGCTTTGCCACGAAGCCCCCTTTCTGCAACACTTACCGAGCATGGTCTGAAAACGCTGCCGATAGGTAGTCGAGGCTACCGAGAACACACAAGGCAAACATTATAACGCAGCACAAAGGCCTGTAATTCGCAATAAATTTTCAAAGCTAAAAATTGCTTTCTTCCCTCGGCAAATGACACTACAAGCCCAAAAGTCACTTGTCACTGCCAAGAAGCTTATTTGAGCATGGCGTGCTCGTCGTTACCCGGGCCGCCGCTTGTACAAGAGTATGTGCGAGATCGCACTGAAAAGCCGCGTATTCGAAGAAAAAAAAAAGACATGCTCAAGGTCGCAAGGTGCATGTGGAGTACTTTCTTTCGCCGTGGCATTCCTCCCTGCTTAGCTTCCAGCTATTTCAGCGGGACGAGAGTAGAGAATGCAGTTGCAGCGTGCGACAAATTTTTGGAACTCTGCTCGTACTGGACCGATTCTAGAAACTTTGCGGCCGTAAATTTGTGAGGCAACAAGCATGTTTATTGGCTCCACGGCTACTTGAAGAAGTGTTGCAGGGCCCCTTTTAAGGAACATGTTACCTTCAAGTCAATTCTTCATTTTATTAAACTTGTTATGACTGCTTATGTGCTCCAAGTACAATAAATTTTAAAGCGTTAAGTATCTTGCAGGTTATCACTCGCATCCTACGGAAACTACTGCTCAAAGTTGTTTCGACTTCCCTTGAATAAAAAAAAATAAATGGCATTTGCATAAAGCCCCTATTTCAATTCAGAAGAAATATTGTGCAGGTTAGTTAGATCATTATAAATATTTCTTTTTTTTTATATGTCGTACATACCATACGAATTTGATACGAAATTATTCGATCAAAATCACTATTCGCTTCGAACTTAAAAATTCACTATTCGCACAAGCCTACAAATAAGGCAAAGTTGTGAAAGTGACTGAGAACTCCAAATATAGTTGTCTTCTCGTGAACAAGTGCAGTAGCGCTGAAATCATGCAAAGCTCTTTTTAAACATAGCATGCAAGACAACCAGCAGTCTCCAACTTATCTGCTCATCTAAGAGTCGTACAAATGGTATTCATAAATCAACCTATTTTTTATTTCTTTATTTTGTGTTAATTCAGCCAATGACAAGGTATGGCTAGGTCATGAAGGACTGCACTAAAGTTGCCCGCCGACTCTGTCTCAGCCAATCCGAAGTCAGGCGGCCAGGTTTATTTTGGGACTATGTAGAAACAGAACAGCAGAAGGGGGAGTAGTTGCACGACAATCAAGCATGGACTCTTGTCAAGTATCCCTGTATGCCCATCTTAAAAAACAGAGGTTGAAGCTCTTCTGATGAACTTACAATAGTATAACCAGAATCAACAAGGAAACTCTCGTAACAACACCACAACGTAAATTGAGATATAATCATCATGGTTTCCGAATCTGAGTGTAGGAAGCAAAGGCTAGTACTTATGCTAATTACTTTTTCATCTGCAACAGTAAACCAGTGAAACAGGCTCAGTGAAGACATCTACTGTACCAATAAAGCTAGCTTTTGCTTTTACACCTTAGGGCATTTCAGGTTAATAAAAAAAAACATCCATTTTGTGGTCTTATGTCGGTGCTTTCCAAAACAGTGGAGCGTGAAGTAAATTACTGCCTACCACCAAGAGAAATTCACTTAAGCTTACCAGCCATAAAAGTACCCGCAGAGAATTATTGACACAAAGTTATACATCAAAATGGTGGCGAGTTTCTTTCAACCTTGGCACAACTTCAAGAGGTGCTTTTTTTTTGGAATTTGGAGGCACACAAAACGGGTGCGACACAGTTTTGTTGGCGGAGCTTGACACTAAATTTTTAGTCCAATAAAAAATGATGAGCAGCCTTTAAAACATAGCAATGTTGATGGACCTTTTTTCCTAACTCGGGTAATCTCCAAGAAACGGGTCGATCGAACGGGCCAGCTAAAAGTGCACCTGGCTTGCTATCAACCGCTAGTGCAGTGCATACGAATAGCTGTTGTGACAGATGCCAGGATCACAAACTGTTTTTCCGCTGCTTTAGGTCGCAACGAGTTTCTAAGGCAGGTTATAGGGGACAGCAGAGAGGTCAAACTCGAGTAACAAGTCTTAGGTCAGCAATTAGAGCGCAAGCTTCTAGTGCGTGTTCAAGTTCTATTGTCGCGCTTAGAGGCTCAAGGCATCTGGTAAGTCAGTATACTGCAGCAAGTTCCTGTAATATCATCCTGACCTCTCAGAGTAGCACTTAGCACCATTACAGGAAAAAGTCTAGATTGGTCAACATCAGTGCTTCACGAGCACCCTAAACCGGGGCCTATACTCCACTGGGGAAACAATTTTTCAGCCATCTGCACAAACGCAATGATTCGAATTATAGTATGCAGATTTTATGCGAATTGTTTCTTGTCTGGATAATTGTGCAAATTCACAGACATATTACGGTTCGGATCTCCATATTAAGGTTCTGCATTATGGTTTGAATCCTTCAACAATACACCTAATATAGTCAACAATTTCATTTGTAAAAACAAGGGCTGCTCAATTACCTCATCCGTGTTCAGGCACTGAGTTCGAGTGCTAAATTTGGTGTTTTCATGGCGGTAAGGCATAGCCTTCAATAGAGTTGATTTGTCGGCCATCTTTTTCGCGCTTGTGCAGCGTAGTGAATACTCTAAAACCGTTGCGAAATGCTTGCCAAAGGTTCGACATTATGCCTTCTAGTGTGTCGCAACTGCAGAAGATAGGCAAAAGTTATGAAAAAATACAATTCTTGCTGCATGTCGACTGCATATTCTTATGATCCTTTTCTGGCCAGCGCACCTCCTCACCACACTTGGCCACTGGGAGAAAACGTGGCGCTGCATGTTCGGAAAGATCAATAGTGTACCTTCGCAACTGTATTTATGTGAATTCCCAGAAACACTCAAGCAGACAACACATTTCTCCATATGAAAGACACCACCGTATGCATTCCCACTGGATGGCAACATTAACGTCAAAAGTAGGATTTGTGTCGCTTGAACGCACTGGGAGATAATAGGTGTCTTTTCGTTAGGACCTCCAATGTTAAACAAATCGAAAAGTCTTGGCCACAGGCTAAGATAGATGAAAGGGGATGCTAAGAACAGATAAGCTTAGGCGGGTAAATAATCTTTCAGAGCTCAATTTTTGTTAATTTAGAGATAGATTGCCTGTGGAGAGAAAATAAAAAAAAAATGAAGCAGGCATAAGTTTCTTTTTATTTCAATGGTACTTGAGCCGAAAAATCGAGACCTCTGGCTTCTCAATGCAAGAGGGCACTTAGCAGTGTCTGCTCATACTTGGAGCAATATTTGTCCATGTGCGAGATAATTATTTTGAAAACCTTCCAAGCTAACTCTTTCTTTTTTACTTCTTTAGAATACAATGCACCAAATTTAACCACCAACAAGATCATCAAGGCACAAGCAGATACCGATGATATCGGCCACCGACGATATCGTGGCATGGGCCGTACAGTAAGCCACCCGTCTCTGAATTTTGCACCATTTATGGTAAGGCTGGCTCATTTAATATTTCGAATGGTTAATTAACATAGATCAACACAATTGTCCCCATTAAATATTTTTAAACACAGAATGCTGTTATTTTACACACGTTCCCCTCATTACCTTTTCCCTTCATTATCCTGGTTAGCTCTTTATAAGTGCTCTATTCACTACACAAGAACAAACAAGTTGGCTTTGTTTTTATTGAATACTTTGAAATTGCATTTGAATAAATAGTGTATTAATCACAAGCGTAGGCACTCAAGTTGGGTTTTAACCTTCCAGAGGCAGCTTTTATCAACGCTGTCCCAAGGCACGAGTTTGCGTCAGCTACGTGCGGAAGGCTTTGGATCTCCTCGAGTTTCTACCTGCATGGTGCTCGAGATGTGCTCGGACTTCCTCCGCAGGTTCTCCGCCTTGGAGACGACGACGTCGCACTCCTTGCCCCACTTTCGGTTGAACCCATACGAGTCGTAGACATCGTCACTGGAGTGAAACAGAGTAGTTAACACGAAGCATTTTACAGAGCCAACAAAGCGACCACTACTCTGACTCTTAATCAACCAAACTAGGAAATGCGCTCGTAAAAAAATATTGATCGATATGCTATCGATGAGGTGTTAACATATACATGCACCGAGGTCAAAGCATTAGTCTACAACACTGCACGACACGCTACAGCACAATTCAGTGTGGTGTATAACGATAACAAGAACTTTAAGACAGCCCAGACTTGGGTATTAATCCTTAGCAGCCATGCGTGCTATTATTTGGGCTCTTTCAAATCTGGTATAATCTGCAAGCATTAGTGCAGTCCAGAGTACGCCGTTGGTGGCTACTTTGCACCTAATTGGCTATTTTACTACCCATCTGGTGACAAAAAATTCTTGTTGGCACCGTGTGTACATTCCAGCTAGCTTGAACTCTTATTCCGATGTCCAGCTAGCTTGAATTCTATTCTGACACATTCAGTAGCCATTTTCTCATTATTTGCAGATAAAGTACCGAGCAACCTTACGGCTACCATTTGTTCCCAAGCATTTCTGAGGTGTCAACTCACATTCGCATGTCCTCCCACCGCCAGCAGGCTGGTGCCCATTGAGGCACCTCAATGCAATACGCATCACGCCTGGTAAGACGAAGTGATGAAGTTCATCTATAGTCAATGTCACTCACGCTCATTGTGGGGGGACTGGCCAAGAATCTGGCGGTTCTATAAATTAAAAAAAAGTTTTAATGGGGGGAAGGTTTGCACTATAGCTTGGAAACTGCAAGAATGACTTCTGCAAATCAAATATGAAATTTGAGTGCGCTTTTTGGATATCAAACTGATGTTGCGCGCACGTTGGCAAACGCATGTCTGGCATGCTGTGAACGCTGTCCACTATCGATGCTGGCGCTACGAGCCAATTCCTAACGGTGATGCACAGAGCGTGTTCTCATGTGAACTTCACATTAACAGAGATCTGCAACAAAATGAAGCTGGACTGGTAATATTCAACGTAATACCACTATTTGACGCTAAACTGGAATTGCGGTAACCACAGCTAATTTTCGGTCAGTGGCTTCAGGTACGACCTGCCTCTGCGATTAACGTTCCTACTGACTGTGCTGTTGTAATGTTCTATTCTTATTGTGTCGGGCAATTGCTTCATCTCTTTTTCACGGACTATATGCAGGCACACGGAACTTGTAATGCATTTGTTTTCAACTCGGTCGTGGCTTGAAGGCCAAGCAAGAGGAGAAAAAGAAATTGCGCTCTTATTTTTATTGTATTGCCAATTCAAAATGATAGTGTTCATTGTTCATTACTAACAATAAATATATTTTCATTACACCGCTTTTGTGCCAATATGCTATGAACTACGTGACAGGATTAAATGGCTTGCCTGCTTTGGCCACCTTTAGCTTCACTTGTGGCTCCTTTTCAAAACTACCAGACGGCAACCCTGGTTCCAGTGTTCTAAATGAGTGTGGAAATTCTAGACCTCTGTACATATATGCAACATGTCTAATATAAAACACCATGTAAAATGCAACAGGAGTAAAAATGCCAGTGAAACCATGATATGCACAGGCAAACCTCAATATAAAGAAGTCGGTAGTGTTGGCTATTTACTTTGCTATCTGAAACTACATCAAATTAGAATTCAACATTCTAAAACAAAGTACATTTGTCACAGGCTTATTTTTTGCTCAGGGTGTGCCACACTATTGTTTGAATAACATGGCAGTAACAGAAAACTAACTTCGACAATGTGAAAAAGCAAAAAAGCAATTTTCTTAAACCCGAGATCTAGCAACCTCAGCTCAATGCTGTATCGTCAAAGTCCTCTTCACAGACGCTGGATGTCGCACGTGAACACGAAAGAAATGTAACTTCAATGCATAGGGGTATTGCGGGATAAGCGAAGCTAATCGTGCCTGTTCTGCCACGGTGAAATCAAAATATCATGTGTAGCACAGATTAGTGTGATACGGACGCTATCATATTTGCTGAGGCGAACCACTTACTTACTTGCTTCGATGAATACGCATCAAAAACCATCGTATGCTACAAAACTAATACAGGTGCAAGTGCACAGATACGAGGCAGCAACTTGAATTACAGCACCTCTGTTTATGGCAGCGACGTTTTTTGTTTTGTTTTGTGATATCCCGTGCACACGTGTCCAAAGAATCCAAGAAGACTCGCTGTGGTGGCAAGAATTTCAGCCACTACTATCCACTGGTTCAACAGCAGTCTTGTATCCCTGAATGTCCACGTATAATGGGTCCTACTCCTTGCTAATCGAGATCGCTTGGAAGTACCAGCCGTGCTGGTAACGCAACCTGAACGATCGCTAAGAGGGCTAGTCATGATTGATTCATTCATATGTGGGGTTTAACGTCCCAAAGCCACCATATGATTATGAGAGACGCCGTAGTGGAGGGCTCCGGAAATTTCGACCACCTGGGGTTCTTTAATGTGCACCAAAATCTAAGCAGACGGGCTTACAACATTTCCGCCACCATCGGAAATGCAACCGCCACAGCTGGGATTTGATACCGCGACCTGCGCGTCAGCGAAGAGTGCTAGTCACGGTGATTAACTATTCAATCAACTCATTAATGTGATCGCTATAATGCTAGAAGCCAAATAATGAAGAGTCATTGCAGTATTAGAGGTTGTGCTAATAGTTCAAATACACTAGTGTACTTCTGGACCTAATGTAATTTTTCAGGGTTCCACTGCGTGCGTACCTGGTCTGGAAAGACTCCTGAACCTCTTTAGGAACTGTCGGGTCGTGCATGGCTTCTTCCAGAAGCTGGCTCACGATGGCCTGGACACCGGCTTCACCTGAGTGAACAGCATCCATTATAAAAACACATCAGTTCACATTATCCTAGTCTTACAACGAACAACAGTCGGCAGCAAGTGGCTTAAAGATACCGACACAAATTTTCGTAGGTGAGTTCACTCCGCCTTATAAATTTCCTGTACACGGCACTGAGCAAGTATAAAGTCCAGTAAAAGCTCATAAGATATGTTGTTCTGACATAACAGTCAGTTTTCGTGTGGATGCGCCTGCTGGAATCGACACTATAACGACGTCAGGCTGCAGTATCAATTTCGCCGACTTCACACACCTGTATGGTTAGTGGTGATTATGTCGAGTGCCAAAACCTTCAATATGGCGTATTATGCATCACCGAAGACATTGAAAATAGCTGCATGTGCCGATGGAATCGCAAATCGGAACAACCATGGAAACATCGCAACATTTAGCGGGAGCACATGATGAGAAGCTAATGCAGAGTTGTGACGTCAATGTACAGCCGGACTGAAACTAGTTTTTAAAAGCTTACTGTAATTAATTTTTCAGGGTGTACTTGCACTTAGTGGTACATTTTCTAGGCTCTTGAGGACCTGTCCTTTTATTTTACCCCCCCCCCCCCAAAAAAAAAAAAAAAGAAAGAAACTGAAAATCTTCACGTCGGCATGCCTTTAAATGCGAGTTTTTCTGAATCCTTGCTTATATGCACACATTACTTTTTCTAAGGCTTGTAGTCCAAGTGTAACAGAAAGAGAAATAAGCAAAAGTATCGGAAAGTTGCATTGAGTAGCGCAGTTAAAACACGAGTCGTACTAAAAGTGTTTTACCGCGAGGCCTTCTCCGATCTTGGTCTTAAGTGCCTGCCTTTGTTGCTGCACAAATAACCTTCCATCACTGATACGCAATACCTATTCTCGTTTATTTCAATACCACAGCTAACATATATATAGCCTGATAGCTACACATCAGATCTAGCTTAAGCCATCTCAGATTCTAAACCTCTGCCTTCATTGCATGGTTCAAAAGTTGTAACATTCTACCACCAAGCCAGAGGTCACCAGTTTGATCATAGCTGCGTCAAATATAAAAATGCTTAATTGCTTAGATGGTTAAAGTTGTGGTTTAGCTGAAGACGAGCTTATAGCTGCACGTGCTGGGGTTTGGCTATTATGCATGTTTGTATACTACAAAAGCAAACTCAAAGTTTGCCACGTCATGGTGCCAGAAAACTGCACTCGTACATGCTGCTTCAAAATATCACTGCGACGCCATTACTCTGGCAAATTGCTGTGTAGGAAAGTCAGCTTTAACACTTTCACGACAGGATATTACGGCGCTTTTTTTTTTTTCATGCTCTATATTTATTTATTTACATTTCATCTACATCGCCGTGAGGCATTACGTAGGGGAGGTACACATAATAATTTGACTACATAGTTTTCAATCGAAACAATAGATTCAACAAATAAAACAGCACTCAAAATATTTTAAGAGAAGAAAAAAAAACACTCGAATATTGGTATGCAGAAAATTTCTCTTATCAATATAGCAGGATGCTGTTAAGGACATCTAAACATTTTTATAGGGCTTAGCTCAGCTTAAAAGAAGTAGCAATCATTACAGGCAATGAATTTATAAGCTAATTAATTGTTTGTAAGCAATTATGTATCAGCTTAACGCTTTCAGATGCTACCTATGAAGTGCTGCCTGTAAATGTGTCAAATCACAACGTTACTTTAGGGCAGTCAATAATATTCTATTACAACAAGAATAATAGGATAATGGTTGAATTTATGTGTGCTGTAGTAACTCACCCTAATTAAGATGTAATTAAATATATCCTTACCCTGTTGCCATTGATGCTTACTTTTGGCATAAACAGAATAAAATCTCAGGCTAGAAAAATATCCAAAATTCGTCTTTGGTTACGTCTAGTTTGAGAAACAAAAAATTCTGCTTTTCACATGTCTCGCAGCAAGCGGCACGTCACAGGACTCGTCGAACGCAGAAGTGCGTTCCAAAAAGTGACCACATGCAACAGTACACTGCAAAATGAAGTTAAATGAAGACCAGCTTACTACGCAGGAGGTTCGATTAATCCAAAGTATGATATATCTCGCTCATTTTCAGCCTCTACTTGACACAAATAGCAAACACGGGTGGTGTACACGATGCCATACATAGCATCTCAAAGTGTTGAAGCTACCGAGGCAATAATTATTCATTTCATTCCTAGTCCAAAGTAGTCAAAAGCGTCTGAATCCCATCTTCCATCTCGTAGTGCACACACCTGCTATGCTGGCAAGCTATGGCTGCACTGCCGAGACGCTGGCAAAGAGACTCATGCCAACACTGACATGCAAGCACTCGCTCGCTCTTTTGTCGAAAAATTTTACCACAAAGTGTTTGTTTATGCATTCTTCCTATAGACGGCAGGACACACCAGAATTGTCATTTTATTTCCTTTTACAGAAGTTGTCTCGCAAGTTGCCAGGAGGGATTTAGAGAGGCAGAACGAGCATAACAGGATCAGGAGGGCTTGTCCGTAAGTCATCGCCCGAGTTATTTTGGGACGGGCAGTGAAAGGGTTAATACTCAGAAAAAGGGAAGGCTTTGCCGCTGCTACAAGCGCCTCACAGTTAAACTGCCGATGCAAAACCTCGTCTTTTATAAATGATCTCGTCGGAGGTTTCGAAGATGTTTATTCGCTCCTTCATGCACGACTACGTAAAACGCTTCCAGCTGGTGTGCGAGCAGTAAGATGTGTGAAGCGAATCCCCGCTTACCTTCCTCCGGACTGTTGAGCTCCTTGAGGAGGAACAGAAGTTTGCTCTGGGTCTGGTAGTGCCTAGCTTCGGCATTCGAGCATTTTCTGGCGAGTGAATGGCAAATGGAAGAACGAAATCGAGAAACGCTCGGCATTCTCTACGATCGAGACAAAGTTATTTAAACAGCGAGCTCGTGTGAACGAAATGCTCTCACTTGAAAGGAAGCATGCAAAATGTAGATGAGCAAGCTGTGCTTTAAAATGTGTGCACAGTGGTAGGAAAGCGAGGGCAATTTTCAAGAGCTCTTTTTCATTTCTTTGTTAGACACAACATCAATAAAACCTAAGACAATAATGCCAAGTACAGGGTATACTATCACTTGCAGAAGTTATGACATCAATGCAAATAAATGAAAGTGGGCAAAAAAGATGACTTGCTGTTGGCAGGAACCGAACCTGCAACTTTCAAATTATGGATCTTTCTCTGGAAAACTTGATCCCTTCCCGTAGAATGCGAGGGGTTCTCGGTCAGCCGCCAACGCATAAAGAGTTCACGTGCTACGTTGCGCCAACAGGCAAAAAAAAAAGAGTGATCTGCGCTCGCTGCCACGGCTGCAATCGGAACTGACTACCACTCCCAGGTTTAAATGCACGGACATACCCAATGAAGTGAACAGGGAGATGACCGCCACCGTAGCTCAGTTGGCAGAACATTGTACACTACACTCAGAATTTGATATAATGTACCCGAATATAACGAAATATCGGGTATAACGAAGTAAACTAAGAAATACTCTTGCAATAGATATAGTGTTTGGAATAAACATTTATAATGAATTTTCATACATAAAGAACTTCTTGTGTAAGATGCAACTTTGTTATAATGAGGTTTGAGTGTATTGCATCTGACTGCCAATGTACGGGAGCTGGCCGAGAAAGGTGCAGACATAAGGAGAAAACTTTGGGTTTATTTGCGTTAGAGAATTAGAGTAAAATAATATGATGGTTTGCCCGTGGAGACACATCACTTCGGTCGGCAGCAACTCGTACGCTGCGAACCTCAGCCATGAGAAAACGATCTCTGTTGATGGTTGTCCTCCTCATAAAACCTTTAAATCACGTCACTTCCAACAAATCACTGAGTGGGGCGACTGAGGTCATGTTCGTCCAATCGGCAGTCCCAAATAGATGGCGTTACTCTCGGCCAATGGGAGACCCAGGGCCGTGTTGCCGGGGGACTGCACTCTTTGCAGTAGTGATCCACTTTTACGCAAGCAAGCACCCGGAGGTGGTGACAAGCTTGCGTCGTGCTGCACCAAGGCAAGGCCATCGCCCTCTGGTCGTTGAACATTGAATATGGACCATCTCAGCTCTAGCGAGAAGGCGTCGCTCAGAAGACAGCTTGTAGTGCCAGGCCTCCGGGTAAATGTCCCTTACCCGCTGAAAAGGCCATTACTGAAATCATGTGCAGTCTGTGTCTAACGACACTTCATCTGAAGGTTGCAGGTCCGGTCCCTGTCAGCAGCAAGTTTCCTCTTCGTCCACTTCATCATATTCATATTTATATAGTAATTACTACCAATGTGATTCCTTTCCGCGCGCTGGTTTTATTAATAAGTCTCTAGTTCTCATCGATATCGTGGACAATGAAAGATAGGTGGATGGCAAAGAGAGCACGAAATGGAGATAACAACTGAGACAGAAGAAAGTAGACGGAACAAATGTGTTCTTTTTCTCTACTCGAACTGAACTTTTTGAACCACCTTAAAATGTATCTAGAGCACAGTTTCCGTTAAAAAAATACCTTAGTGATTTACATAATCGAGGTGTGCGAGAATAGTAGTACTAGTGAGCAATTTGAAGCTTGTGATAGTAAAACTGGCATACTGACATAAAAATAGTTAAATTCTGAAGCCTTAACAAGCATTAGTTATGAACTTAGTGTACTAACCAACAATAAGCTTTTAAATAAAAATATAATAATCAAAACTGAAGTTTTGAAATTTTTGCAATGGAAGAGAGAAAACCGCTAGAACACATATAAAAACCTTATCAGACTATAAATGAATTGCCTTATTTATATGAATGGTCTGCACTAAAGTGACGCAAACCAGTGCAAATTCTAGAAAAGTGCAGACATAAGGAGAAAACATCGCAAATAAAATATTAAAATTCGTGCTCGATTTCTTAAGCCTGCCCCATAGTAAGCAACAGCCTGACTTTGTTTTTCTACTTTTTTTTTTCTTTGCGAGATGATCGCTGACTTTTAGCACTGAATTCAACATGAATTTATCTACATAAAACAATTTACAAAAAAAACAGTTGTAGAAATACATTTGCAGCCTTGCAGGGGCAGAGGCATAAATTTTTTCCAGGGGGTGGGGGGGCAAGGGTTTGGTGTGCTATCTCTTCGCTAAGCTTCTGAATATCTGGTAATATGTGGTTTCTAGCTCACAGTGCACTGAGTAGTGCCTGTCGGAGCTTAGCCCCAAATATGTTTTTGGTTAAGCCTCTGGAGGAGCTCTTTCGAAACGTAAACAACAACAACAACAAAAAACACTCGGTGCTGCTACCTAAATCGGAAAAAAAAAGGCAGATGACCCTTTGGTCTGTATTCTTTACACGTATGCATATTGAAGGCACGGCCCATCGCAAGAGCGATATCGCCTCAATTCATGCGCCCTCGCATACTTCAGCCAACCTTCCTTTGTCAAAATGCGACGAAAATAAACCGATATACTCACCGACGTAAGTCTCTGCTGGCCTGCCCCACCCTACGGTCGTCGTTTACGCGCAAATAACGCCGATTTACGCTTTATCTGCTAAATCTTAGTAATGCCTTTCTCGCTTTGTTAGGTCACTAGCGCCTGCTTTCGTAATCGTAGCTTTGTGCCGGACGCGCGAGCACTGGCAGGCAAATCTGGCACACACCGACAGCTACAGCTAATGAAATGCATGTTGTCGCGGTTTGACACCGCAGGCGGGCATTTCAACTTGACGTAGCGACGGTAAAAGCAAACGCAAAACGAGGACACCGGGTCAAAAGGCACTTTTCAAAACAGACGGCGTGTTTTGTCTGCCTTATTCACAATGTACAAAAAGCCTAACCGACAAACCACGTTCTCAGGTTGCTCTTTTAAACAGCTAGCTGAAGGTCGCACTCCGGAAGCTGAGCAAATTGATTCTTTCCTATTCCGCGCCGAAGTTATGTGGAACAGAAACTTGAGAACGGTAGCCAAATCGCGACGCATGCGCGGCATGTTGACAATCAAACCGATTTGCCTGCCAACTTTGAACGAGCGCGGGCGCGCGAAACACGGCGGGCAGCAAAGCGCCGACAGGCTTCCGCCAACGGGAGGACGCGATTCGAGTCACATGAGCTCGCCTCGCCAATGGGCTCGTGCGAGAATTCGTTACGCGTAGGATGAAAACGCGAAGGGATGTGTTGCGTACGCGCAGCGTCATATTGAGCCAGCAGGTCACTATATTTCTAGCAGGGACAAAACTGTCGTGACAGAGAAAGTACAGCACTCGCTATTTAAAGGAGCACTGACATCAAATTTACTCATGCCAAAATTTTTGTGCGTCAGCGAGTAGCTATAGACCCCCCCCCCCCCCCCCCGTAGCATCGATTCTCGACCTAAAACGCAACTGAGGGATGAATAAGTATCTCTTTTGTTGATTTATATTACTGGGATCTAGCACTATTCAAAAACGGCCGGCAATCTCGCCACATTTAGCGCTGGGAGCACGAGCAGTGGCTCTACCTCGAGGTCACTTCCAGATCATGCCACAGCTAACCACTTCTCCACAGAAAAGAGTGACGTCAGGCTCAGCTGCTCCACAAACAATTCGTCTGCTAGGCAGACACATTCAATCATGCCTAGTTACCTGCATTGCTGTCGTCACCGTACAAAGTGTCGACTCAGGTTCAATACGATAGTCTGGAGCTTAGAATCCCCGCGATTCGCGATGCCGCGAATTAATTTTGCTTCGATCGACCTTTTGCAGAACAGTGATTTCGAAATGGACGCCGTTCCAAGCAGCACTGCAGAGGTGCCCGAGGATGCACGCTTCAGCCATGTTCACTCGTGTGTCTCAGTTAGCTATTTCGGTGTGTTTTGGCGTGCAAAGCATTCAGGTATACGCAGAGGGGTCAATGCAATATAGCTATCGGGAATGAGCATCAGCGAAGAAATAGAATAAGTTTCCTGCTTGTGAGGTTCTTTTTTGCGCCTTCAGATGGCCCCACCTGTCCAGCCTCTCGTGGTTAACACGGTATTACCACTTTTACGTGGAAGCAAAGTCTACAGATGAACTAAAATTCAAGGATACTTGCATGCTACTTGTTAGCGATAATATCTCATTACTCGCTCTTCCACTTTTGATAGCTTGTGGTCGTGTTGATGTGCAACACATACGTGATATGAAAAGATACCCTCATTGCGCTTTTTCCATGCTTCGAACTAGACGACTGCAACTCACCTGCAACTAACAGCGATTCCCCGACATGCTGACCGACAAGCACACGTTTAATCATGCTCTTTTCTTTCGCCATTCTTTAAAGGTGGTCTTTATCATGGTAATTTCACGAAACCATTCAAACCGGTGCGATGAAGATCAGGCGCAACGAGCCACGGCCAGGCTAGACTGCATGTGCGCGCGCTAGCAGGCCGTGGACGAGCGAAAGCGTTTCTGCACTTCGGCGCCAGTCGGCACCACAATAAGAACACTCGGATCGTACACGTCATCGCTACTAGGGCATCGTCACTCAGTGTGGTATTTGTGGAATGTATCACACCGAACATGTAACACTAGTGTCGATGTCGCAGGGCAGCCTATTTTTCGTTTTTCTCCTTAGTTTTTCTACGCTGCTTGGCATCAAATTGATATACCTTCCACGTGACGGATGCCGTTCAAATTTGGCCAAGAAGACCTATGCATACCACGTGATCGAATGATTGGCACATTTCGATCGTGAAGTTTGATGTCAGTGCTCCTTTAAAACAAGACATTGTTTTTCGTTAGCGTAACAACTGCTATGAGCAATTGCTCGTAATAAGCGCGTGATGACGTCCCAATACCTGGCCGCTAAAGGTAGTGTTAGGGGTGCGATCAAATATACACCCATATTACAGTGGCTATTCTAGCTACTGTACCAATATGGCGCGAGCTGGTACGCCGCGAACGAAAGTACGTGCATTACTCAAGCCTAAATTTTCGCATCTCAATATATCTGTGCCTAGCAAGGAAATTACATGGCGCTGACAAAAAAAAAGTCCCACCTGTGTGCACATGTCGGTAAAACTTCATTTCGCAACGGTGATTACGACTAAATGATCTAAGCAGCAAAAAGTTGCGATGCTATAGATAATTTTCATCAATAAACATCACCATGATCGCCATCTTAGGGTACCAGCTGCTTAAGGGTACCCAGCTGCTTAAAGGTACCAGCTGCTACTCGAACACAAGTAGCAAGAAACCGTGACATCTGAGTAATACCCGTCCCCCTCGCGGTGCTTTGTGTTATCCCTTGGCGCGGCTGGCGAACAGTAGAAATGGGTGAGAATGACTGCAACATGTCCACCGCTTCACTGACACACTCTGAGATAAAATTTCACGGTGGGTCGCCATATTGAGGTACCCTAGCGCAAAGAACCTGTTTGTGGCGTCACATGAAAAGTATATATATGGTGAATATAGCAAATTCGCTCATGCAACTGGTGCATCAAATTGTTTGTGCTGATTTTATAAGCAGCTGTGCACCCTCCAGGAGAATTGTCGTACACAACGAAAATGTTCAGATTAATTTGCTATTTTTTTCTCGCAATATTTGGTTTCTAATAGCCACTTACATTTTAATCTTCGTTAATTTAACTTGAACCAACTAGCTTAGTTTAATTAATTTATAGTTGTGCAATATGAATGAAATGAGGCAATTGCTATGCTTAATGTAATGGGTTCCATTCTTTGGTATAGCCAGGGGGAGGGATAAAAGTGACCCCCCTTCCAGAAGTTTATTTTGATTTTGCATGTGGTGTGTACATACTCATACAAATGCACAAGCAAACACGCATAAAGTACAATTGATCCCCCCCCCCCCCCCCACCTCCCAAAAAAATATTGCTGGCGACGCCAGTGGTCCCGTTATTCTGTTCTTCTCTCCATTAGGAATATTGTTGATAATGTGATTGAAACCACATTGGCAGGCTTTCCAGAAAAACTTTGAATGGTTGCATCGTACGTGAACCGTAGGACGACACCTTGCCAAATGATGTGTGCTGTCTTTATAAAACACTTTATGGCATGGCTAGCACCTAAGGTATCTTAAATACACACACAACTGAACTTAAAGGAACACTAAAAGGAAAGCTCGTTTTTCTCATATTGATAAGTTGTTTTTTCACAAATTCAATAAGTATGGCTTCTGCTGCAGGAGAGACAACTAGCGAAAAAAAGCTTCCAAGTGGCAACACCCCCTTAAAGTTTGCACACCAACTAGCCATGAAATCGTAGATTTAAACAGCATTTGCTTGGACCTACAAGTTTTATCAGTAACAATGAACTACATCCAGATGCAAATGAGTCAGAATCTGAACATAGTGGCAAGTCTATGGAAATTTTACTGAGTTGACGAGACCAAAAGACACACTAGAGATCTGTGACATCACAGTGACACTCAGGTGTTAGGGTTACTATGCGAAATTCGAAAATCAAACCATGACCTTTGTTCTCTCCTCTCATAATGAATACATGGTGGTGAAATCAATGATAGCAGAGTTCACAAAGGGCATTTTGTCGGTACATATTGAATTACAGTTCGAGTTTAGTGCCCCTTTAAGTACAGATAAACACATGCGAACCATACAAATGCGAAGAGCCCAATTAGCACAAACACTTACATGATGAGCTGCCGTTCTCTCTCCTCCGAGTTCCACCGAAGTTCGTTCAGTTCGAGAATTTCCTTGTTGAGGAACTTGTTTTGCACGTGGAATGCTGCAACTGCATCCTGAAATGGAAATTCGCAAAATCCAATATAGAGAAGGCAAGGAGCGAAAAAACTATGACAGTTGTTATTAGGAATTGAAATCGGAAGGGCCAATCAAAATCGGGAGGGCCAATCAGACTTTTGTATTCACGAATGAGCCTGCCTTTGGCATTCAAGCTCATATTCACTCAGCAGCACCACGCGGTGTTCTCACTAAATATGATGCATGTCGGCGACATTTTGCAGTGATTGTTACAAGCAGCCTTGTCCGGGAACACGCATTTGAATATGTAGCAAGGGCAGTTAGTTCAGACCTAGTGACCTACAAATAGTCGTGGCATCTTAATGAAACACAGCGAATGCTTTGATCGAGGGGCAGCACTGTCACTCACTCTTTCGCGTTTTTCGACCTTGAGCACTTTCTTTTTCTGTTTTCTTTGAATGCAGAGCTCAGTTCCATTGCGTTCACGAGCGCTGTGGCGTAATTTTGGCACGGGACATATCACAGCACGCCCTGGTGGCCACGGTAACTACACAACTTGGGATGCTCAAGTCAGCCAATCGGTATATGATTCAGTTGATTTTGGATATATGGTATGATTTGCTGACAGAAGAGCGAGGAATTCTTAACTGACATAGAAATTTAATTTTAAATTGCATGCTGCGCTGTACTGTTTGGCTCACATGTTCGCACGAACCTCAACGAACGATCAGTGCCATTTTCTGACCATGTTCAACACGAGCCAAAGGGCTCCTATAAAGCTTTTGCGGATACGCATAGCAACAACTACTCAGGTGTGCCACAAGAGGGCTCGTTAAAGTGAAGGTTAAAGGAGAGAACGGCGACTACAAATGAAGGAATGTCGGACGTGCCTTTAGCTGCTCTATCTCCTCGGCCATCTTTGCCATCTGGACTCGACAGGCGTTCTCTTCTGCCTGCTCGGCCTGCATTATGGTGGCCTGCTCTTCCTTCTTCTCCTCCTCGATGTCGTGCAGTTCGTTGGTGAGTGACATGAGGAGCCTGTCTTTTTCTTTCAGCACCTCCTGGTACAGAGAGCTCTGGTCTTTCAGCTCGTCAAGTTCCCTCTCTACGGAACTACGAGAAGAAATATATGTCGGTGTCAATGAAAAGGTAATGTCCCATTAGAAGAGTATGCGTTGACTTCCTTATATATGATTTAACATGTTCTGGCTTTTCTCTCTCGTTTTTTAAAAAGACACTGAGAGAAACACTGAATCGGTTTGTACAAATACTACGTCACACTTTGAGAACTCTTTTGCAATTAATTTCATTATTATAGGTTGCCTACAAGGTTGATGTTTTGAAACGCCAGCACCTATATGTCTGCGGGATGTTGTGAATTTTAAAGCTTCTTTTTTTATCTTATCTTTTTTCTTAGTTCAACACAGTATCTTGATGGAATTTGCCGAATCTTGCCATGTTTAGTCTATGGCTGTCCTCGTACACAATTCAGTTCGTTTTACTAATAAAGAAATACGCAGGCCTAGCAGACATCGTCGAAATGCACGTCGTCACGGCAAGCTGGTGCGGGGAACTGGAAGGAGGTGGTGTGACCCGTATTTCCTTCTTTTTGGAACTTCTGGCTTCTCAGGAATCTCCTCATGGCAAGAGTGGTGTTTATCAGTACTTCAGAAGGATTACTTACTGGTGACACTAGTGAAACTATGCTTTTCTCTAGCGTCACATTAGGCAGAACTACACCAAAGCGAAAAGCTATAGTAGTGGCAAGTATAATTGGTACTCGCTCGACCCGAGACCTGATTATCACCGCCGTCAAAACCTGCACCATGACACTGGCATCCATCGTTAATGACTGCTTTCCTGTGACTAATTCCCGACGAATGACATGCCTGTGATAATTTCAAATGCTGTTAACATGCCCTGCATCGAATTTTTAAAGAAAAAACTATGAGAAAATTCTATCTCGTGACATGGACAGATGCTAAAACAAAGACTTGACAGCAGAAAGGCACTGACAAAGGCTCATGGACAGAAAATGTGGAACTTAGGTACAGCAGACTTTTGATAATGCAACCACCCAAAAACCTCAAGATTTTCTGGGATTTATCGTAAGCTTGAATTTCCAGAAGTTTTCAAAGGTATGACTCGGGACAATATTACCACATTGAATATGCAGCACGAAGAGAACAACGAAGAACACGCGCAGCGAGTGAAGAAGACAAGGTTCTCTTCTGATCAGTTTACCTGTATTCTAATACAATTAAAGTGAGTTCCCTGGATTCGACTGCTGCTGTTTCTGCATTGTGACACTGGTGGAGGCGCTGGGTACATGTTCGGGACGCCTGACAACAGCCCCGCATCTGGTCAAGAAAGACTTCCGCGCATCGACACCCCCGTTCACCGCAGCAGCCGGCGCCTGTTAGGCCTCAGCCCGGAGTTTGGTCCATTGCGGGAAAGCGTGACTGTGCCAGAAAGCATGACGGCGCCTGGAAGCACTGGCCCCAACATGTCCAGCCCAAGAACGACACAGGTGACTGTTTTGAACCCTCGACTTCCGGTTGACTTCCACAGAAACGCATATGAGGATGCACAAGACTGGCTCGAAGAATTCGAGCACACAGCGAATGTTAACGGTTGGAACACCACACAGATATTGGGCTACGTTTATTTTCCGCTTCAAGACGGAGCCCAAACGTGGTTCACGAATCGCGTGTGGTCGTCTTGGGACGAGTTCCGGCAGAAGTTTCTCGACACGTTCGCGAGCACTGAAAGACAAGAAATTGCACAGCGTCTCCTCGAGTCACGAATTCAGAAACCAAATGAATCCGTTACGATGTTTGTTGAGGACATGGCGCGGCTATTTCGTCGAGCAGATCCTAATATGCCCGAAGCCAAAAAGGTTAGCCACCTCATGCGGAGCGTTAAGGAGCAGCTGTTCGCTGGCCTCGTACGAAACCCGCCTACAAGTGTGGATGAATTCTCCAAGGAGGCGACATCTATCGAACGCGCACTGCATCTACGTTATCGCCAGTATGACCGCCCAACCCACAGTGCACCGATCAGCGTGGCAGCCTCTACCACAGCAACAACACCCGACGAAGGTTCTTTGCGCCAACTAATACGAGAAATCGTACAAGAAGAGGTCAAGAAACTCGTCGCCAAACCGAATGACTGCGCGATCGCCTCAGTAACGGAAGTTGTACGCCAGGAGATTAGGCAAGCGCTCTCACTTCCTGAGCCGAACACGAGCACTCCCAGGGCAAGCTATGCAGACGTAGTCCGCCGACAGCCAGCGAACGTGCCGACACCACATTAGTACCACCAGCAACATCCGCCGACAGCGCCTTGGTACTACAGAGAAACTTCGATGCCGAGGCGGCCACCACTTCGCAAAACTGACATCTGGCGTACCCCTGATCATAGGCCCCTGTGCTTTCACTGTGGGAAAGCAGGCCACATCGTTCGGTATAGCTCGTATCGCGCCGCAGGGTACCAAGGGTTTCCTTCTACGGTTCCTCGGCGCCATTTCAACGGAACACCTGACGTCGACACGAGTGTCATGACCCCGCGGGATGTTCCTCCTGGGTTTCGGTCACGCTCACCCTCTCCTGGGCGTTATTCTCCATCCTCTAGACAGAGCACCACTGACATGCCAAGAGGGAGATCTCCTAGTCCACGCCGGGGAAACTAAAAGCAGCGACCTCAGGGGGGAAGGTTGCGAATCTCGAAGTGCTGAAAATCCCCCATTACTGCCGAGCGAAGAGAGACACATTTTCAATGAATCGACGAAAGATGGGGTTGTTACTGCCGAAGTTGCAATTACGATTGATGGACATGACGTCATGGCATTGGTCGACACTGGCGCGGACTTCTCAATAATGAGTGAGAGTCTGGCAGACACGCTCAGGAAGGTTAGAATGGAATGGACAGGACCGCAGATTAGAGGAGCTGGAGCGCAGCTACTCACACCTACCGGAAAGTGCACCGCAAGAATGAAGATAGGGGATGCATCCTTCGTCGCAACTTTTGTTATCCTTTCTGAGTGTTGCAAACAGGCAATCTTGGGGATGGATTTCTTCGTGAATATGGTGCCATCATCAATATTCCGGACGGTGTACTGACCTTTTCAGCGGATCAAAGCGCAGTGCTACACCGAAAATTCCTACGAGTCATTGACGATGTGACCGTACCTCCGTTATCGTGCCACCTTGTTTCAGTCACGTGCAGTGAGCAGAATACTGGAGAAGGAATCGCTGAACAAGTATTGACGCTCCTACTCTCTCGCGGTGTTGCAATTGCCAGAAGTATCGTCAACGTTGTGTGCGGTGAAGCAGAGGTTCTGTTAACGAATTTTACCAACGAGCGACGACACATTACACAAGGCACTACAGTTGCCTACTTCGACGACATCACTTAAATCCGCGAGTGCTGTGGAGTACAACAGGACGAGCCACAAGCCACGTCAGCCCCACCACCTATTGACGTAAGCTCGGATTTGTCACCAGCACAGAGACAGCGTCTAGTAGATCTTCTTCACCAGTTCAAAGACTGTTTTTCATCGACCTCGAGGGTCAGTCAAACCCCACTGACGAAGCATCGGATAATAACGAAGGAGACGGCAAGGCCAATACGACAGAACCCATACCGCGTAGCACCGAAAGAGCGTGAAGCAATCCAGGAACAAGTGAAGAAAATGCTCAATGATGACGTCATCCAGCCGTCAAGAAGTCCTTGGGCATCGCCGGTAGTGCTGGTTAAAAAGAAAGACGGAAGCTTGCGATTTTGTGTCGACTACCGCAAGCTGAACCGTGTGACAAAGAAAGACGTGTACCCATTACCGCGCATTGATGATTCACTCGACAGGCTGAGGTATGCACGCTACTTTTCGTCAATGGACCTCAAAAAAGGGTATTGGCAAATTGAGGTCGACGAGCGAGATAGAGAAAAAACGGCTTTTGTAACGCCTGACGGGCTTTATGAATTTAAAGTCTTGCCATTCGGATTGTGCTCAGCCCCCGCAACATTTCAGAGACTGATGGATACCGTTCTGTCAGGCCTTAAGTTGCAGACATGTCTGGTCTATCTGGACGACGTCATTGTTTTTTCAAAAACATTTGAGGAACACCTGAGCAGGCTGCTATCGGTATTCAGGGCAATAAGGTCTGCCGGCCTGACGCTGAAACCCGAGAAGTGTCATTTCGGTTTCAAGGAGCTTCAATTTTTAGGCCATGTGGTAAGCCATGAAGGTGTTCGACCTGATCCCGATAAGATTGCGGCCGTCAGAAAATTTCCGGTACCAAAAGACAAGAAAGCAGTCAGGCGTTTCCTTGGCCTATGAGCATACTAGCGAAGGTTTATTGCCAATTTCTCCCACATAGCCTCGCCGTTAACACGACTCACAAGAGAAGACGTTTCGTTGACGTGGGGCGACGATCAACAGGTGGCATTTGACGATCTCCGACAATGCCCGCAGACTCCGCCTGTGCTTGCTCACTTTAATGAGGATGCTCCTACCATGGTCCATACAGATGCCAGCAACGGGGGTTTAGGCGCTGTACTCGTCCAGTGGCAAGACTCAGCCGAGCGTGTGATCGCATATGCTAGTAGGACGCTTTCCCGCGCCGAGTCCAACTACTCCACAACGGAAAAAGAGTGTCTTGCTGTCGTATGGGCGGTTATAAAGTTTCGTCCGTACCTCTATGGTCGTTCCTTCCACGTAGTCAGCGACCATCATTCCCTCTGCTGGCTGACCAACTGAAAGCCGTGCGAGCCGACCCGTCTGGTCGGCTCGCACGGTGGAGCTTACGCCTCCAAGAGTTTGATATGACGGTCGTGTATAAGTCCGGACGGCAGCACGCCGACGCCGATTGCTTATCAAGGTCACCGATAAAGCGCGACGATGACACAGAAGATGACAGCATGGCGTTTGTAGGAGTCGTTGACACCACTATGATTTCGTGCAAACAGAAAGAAGACAGTGAGTTGCTTCCTCTTATTGAATTTTTGAGTGGCCGGACAACAAACGTCCCTAGAAGATTTGCAAGGAGCCTGCCGTCATTCTGCTTACGTAGTGGTGTTCTCTATAAGAAGAACTTTTCTCCCAGAGGAAGCACCCACCTACTTGTCGTTCCGACGTCACTTCGTGAGGAGGTACTTTGTGCTTGCCACGATGAGCCAACGTCTGGTCATCTCGGATACACACGCACATTGGCCAGAATCCAACAGAAATACTACTGGCCAAGACTTCCAGCTATTGTGAAGCATTACGTGCGCACGTGCCTCGATTGCCAACGACGAAAATCGCCACCGTTAAAACCAGCTGGGCTATTACAACCAATTCAAGTGCCCACGGTACCTTTTGCCCAAATTGGAATGGATCTCCTTGGACCATATCCGACTTCCCATGCTGGCAACAAGTGGGTAATAGTCGCCACTGATTATCTTACCCGCTACGTCGAAACAAAGGCTTTGTCAAGTGGCACCGCCGTTAAAACCGCACGATTCTTCGTAGAAAATATCGTCCTGAGGCACGGTGCTCCAACAATCATAATAACGAATCGAGGTGCCGCTTTCACGGCCGCGCTCCTGAAGACAGTGCTTGAGCTAAGTGGAACCGCCCATCGGAAAACCACTTCCTATCATCCACAAACCATTGGCTTAACAGAACGCCTCAACAAGACTATTGCCGACATGTTGAGTATGTACGTTGACGTGGATCACAAGAACTGGGCCGACATTCTACCGTACATCACGTTCGCCTATAATACAGCGCAGCAAGAAACTACACGAAGAACGCCGTTCAGTCTCCTTCATGGCGATGAAGTGACGACGATGCTTGACGCCATGTTACTGCACGACTGCAATGACATAGATTTGGACGCTGCATCTTTTATCCAACGAGCAGAAGAAGCGAGGCAGCTTGTGCGCGTCCGAATCACCCAGCAGCAAAATTATGACGCCCAACGTTATAATCTGCGACACCGACATGTTGTCTATCGGGCCGGCGACAAAGTCTGGGTATGGAGTCCTATCCGCCGCCGGGGACTGTCTGAAAAATTGCTGAAGAAGTATTTTGGCCCCTACACAGTTTTACAACACCTGAGCGACGTTAATTACGTGGTCGTTCCTGACAACCCCTCGACAACTCGCCAGCAAAAACCAGAAATCGCGCACGTTGTGCGAATGAAGCCCTACTTTTCGGACTGATTTACATCATACATCTACTACACCGTCTTTTGTAGAAGAGCATCGGGACGCTGCTCTCTGGAGGGGGGGCAAATGCCACATTGAATATGCAGCACGAAGAGAACAACAAAGAACACGCGCAGCGAGTGAAGAAGACGAGGTTCTCTTCTGATCAGTTTACCAGTATTCTAATACAATTAAAGTGAGTTCCCTGGATTCGACTGCTGCTGTTTCTGCATTGTGACAATATGACTAGCGTCATTGTTTCTCAGTGCCGTGGCAACAACGTAGACAGCACTGCGAAATTGCCAGGGATGGCTTTGGATTTCAGGAATCATACTGGTACTTGTTGTCATTCAATGCGTGATTCCATGTGTAAATAAGGGATGAAATGTATTGCATCTAGTGACAACTGGTAGCCCCCTTCCCATTCTTAGGAAGCTTTCCTGCATGACACAAGTATACCACTGCTGTACACCTCAGCCAGACCATTCCAGTTTTTTTTAGGGGCGAAGCTCCTTAAGGCGTGGGCTGTGCGTCCCCTGTATGTAGCTACGTCACGTTTAGTTCTTGCAGTGTTCACTAGATGGCGGTACTTGTTGCTGATGATGAAAAGATGCAAGATGCTATAAAATAGAAATGATGTCACATATGGTGCGTGTTATTGGTGGAAGGCAAACGCTCGATTTAGTGCAGCGGCGTACGCTAGGGGGAGCGTTGTAATAAAATCGAGAGGGCAAAATCTACGGGGGATTCATGGTTTACCAGGTTTACCTCCGAAGCTTCATCTACTCATCATCATTCACTTCATGGATTTGGCAGCGCTTTTTCGTTTTTCTTTTTTGTTATTTTTTCTTAGTTTACATAGGAATATTAGTGCATGCAGTTTAACAATGGGCTTTATCAGCGACTGTTAGTGACAATGTTCAGATTGAAGCAACAAACGTTGAAGATATTTCTAGCCGTGGAAAAGAATAAGTTTGAATATACTGGATCGGTGCAGTGGGAATGTTTGAATGAAGCGGCTTTGATTAAAGTACATGAAAAGCATAGAGGGTCAACCAAAAATGTAAGATTTGTTTGAATGAACTGGAGGTATGAATTATCGAGAGTCCACTGTGCTTCTCCTAGTAATATTAGTATCTATAATGCATTCCATGCAATGGCGCATCTCCAAAGCCTGCTAAGCAATAGCGTGGCCACTTACCATCGCCTGTTCTGCGTGGTTTCAAGCTGCACCTTGCACATGTATAGCTCATTTCTGAGCTCTAGAAGGAGCTTGTCCTTCTCGTGAAGCATCCGCGTGTAGTTCTCGTTGCTTGAATTTGCATAGAGCTTGTTTCTGCAAAACAAGGGGCGGTTTTAACTCTGCCAAAAAGGGTAACGGAGTTGATGTAGATGAAACATTGACACATATCTACCAATGGCATAGCTAGGAAGCCTGGGAGGGCCCTCCTTAATGATTTTTAATTTTGTGCATGTACATATACACAAATACCTACAAACCCATGCACAAGCATAAGAAAAGCATAGTTAGACCACCCCCCACGGAGAAAAATTTCTGGCTACACTACTGGTATCGACACATCTGTGTAACATGTACTGAAATGAAACTGATCCTGTTTTTAAGAAGCCATGATATGGTCACCAAGCAATTTAGGGCTTACAGCAAAAAAATAGAAGTGCAGGGCCTGTATATAAATGGAAAACAGACTGTAAAAAAATATTTACAGTTAATGGCGCGAGTAACGTGATGTGGTCCATGTAGTGGAGCAGTTGTCTCCTACCAAAGTTTCAGCCGGCACAAATTGTTTACTTTCAGTGCCAAGCTGAGAAAAGACGAAACAGCTCGATAGCACGTGCTACTTACCATGGAGGGAAATCGCTCGGTGAAATGCAGGCACTCGGAAAGTGAACAGCTCGTTACATCTCACCTTACGAGTACATTGGTCTTGCCCTAACCTTAGGCCGCTCGCGCATTTGTCACAATAGTCAAGTTAAGTACTTGACCAAATGCTTTGAAATTTTGCCAGTTTATGTTTGAATGCACAAGGATTAACCCACGTAACAGAGATTAAAATGAAAATTTGGGTGTCATGGCACCTTTACCAAGTTACACGTGATGAAAGTGCAATATTAAGAAGTGTAGAAGTTGCCGATCCCTTCTGCCAACCCCTTGTTTGCATGATCACTACTCTTAATCAGTTCCAGACAACAATGCATGCTATAATCTGAATGTAGTGCACTCATACTTCATTATAAAAAAAGTTGCATCTTGCAGCATAGTAACCTATAACTTCGTTATATCAAAAAATTCCTTATAAGGGTATATTCTGAACACTATATCTATTGCAAGACTATTCTTAACATACTTTGTTATAACAAATAATGCATTATATTTGCATTCATTATATCGGGGTTCGAGTGTACATCAAGAAGCAGGATTTCGATGAGATAGCAATGTGGTCATTCAGAAACATTGCTTAACAAAAAGAACAGCTTACAGTGTCTCTTGTTCCCTGCTTCCCAGCTCCAGCTGCTGACGGAGGACCTTGATCACTTCCTTGCTCGCTGTCAGCTCATCGTCTTTACACTGCAGCTCCTCACGTAAGGCACTTGTTTCGCGTTCAAACTTAAAACAAGGATGGTGCGAAAAGAGTCAACGACAAGCAGGAAATAAGTCAGATACACGATACTAAAGACAATTACAGTGTCAATGCACAGTGCAGCTATGGACAACATACGCGTTCAACACAAGCCAAGCAAGACCCGTTTATTTCAGCATGCGCTCACATATCTATACAATAAAACCACAGTATAACAGTAACGTCTGCCATGAAAACACTGCGTTACATCTAAAGCATAAGGTTAACAGCACGAAAATAACACACGGCGAACAGGAAAAAAATAAGAGAGCACTTGTCCCATCTTTTTTCTGTTCGCCGTGAGTTATTTTTGCGCTGTTGACCTTAAACGAGCACAATCAACTAGCCCCAGTGAGACACTTTGTTATATCCGAGAATTTGTTGTAAGCAATTATTCGTAATGCTGTATATATGACAAAACTATATATGACAATAACAGAAAGTAGCTTTGAAAGACATACTCCAATTGCTTTATCAGGGCACACTTAAGCTCACCAATACATTTTCTAGGCTCTTATGAGCTTGGCATTTCATTAAAAAAAAAACTAAAAATTAGTGGCAGAATTCTATTTGAATTGGAATGCGAGTTCCCACATCAATTTACCTTCCAGCCCTCCACTACATACCTCTTTGCACTTGCAGCACACTCCTTCATGGAGCTTTCGCAGAATCGGAGGAGCTGATGTGAACATCTCGACTTCTACCTTAGGCCGAGCCCGAAACGAGTCCTGCAGCTTCTTTTTGAAAGACGTGAAGACCGCGGGCGACTTTAGCTTGGAAGGCGACAATGGTGTATCGCAGTCTTCATACTCATAACTGTTGTCCTCTTCTCCCGTGTAGAAGTGGCTCAGTCCTTCAGTTTTCCCGTCTGCAAAAGGTTTTGAAAATGCTAGGAAATGGCGCACGACATGAAATGCTGGGACGTGTTCTTGTGTCGCTCTGCCTAGAGAGAAGCAGCCACAAGTGAAACCAAACAAATTATCTCTTTATTCCACTGCAACATGCATTAAAATTGATTTTCAACAAATGCAGAAATATACATAATTTTATGCCAAAGCACTGGAAACTTAATTCAAAGCAAGCAGCAACATTACAACAAATTATAGTGAATTCTGCAGGTAATAATTGTAATTACAGGGAAAATTATTCTCTAATTACTCTACCATCAGTCATGCTATATTTCTTCATAACCCAAATTTAGTGACCAACTCAAATTGCATGCGAGTTACCTGCTGATAGCTAGCATTCTGGTAGCTGGTGTACTAGTTTCTTTTAGACATCCAACTCTTAAAAAAGACAGATAAAAACTGCCAAGTGATAAAAACTACCAAGTGCAATAGTCGAGTGTTTTTAAAGAAAGACAGTGCAGAGATATTCCACAAAGACTGCCTATTCTTTAAATGAACGTTGTGTTAGCACTCACCGTCGCTGCTGAGAGACCGTTGCTTCTTTTGAAATGAGTGTTTGAAATTGGAGAGCACGTTTGAGGCAGGGGGAGCTGGCGGCGCCTGCACAGCGACGTGCTCTCCCACAACGGTCGCGGGGCACTCGACTGGTGATAAGAGCAGTCCTCGGTCAGTTTCCTCGCTTCCGGACACTTCCTCAGCCTGTGGTGGCTTCTTGTGCAGAAGTCCACTCGTCGCCTGCAATGATAGTTGCCGTCGCCCACCGTATTTATGTACGGCCACTTGTCGACATAGGGACAGAACGCACAGATGAAATAGGAAGGTCGGGTGCCGGTTTATTTCAAGCTACAGTCCGCGTTTACCACAGTAACTGGGGCTGGGACAGTGTAGCTATTCCATGCCCATGTGACTTCTCAGGCTCTATCGGTAGTCAGAGCCCGAGCTGAATGTCATAATCGACTGGCCATAATAAGAGCAGTAGCACAGATCAGCATGTCAGTAGAGTGTGCTGCTCCCTACTGCTGAGGGATCCTGAGCTCAGCCTTTCGCCAACAGCAGTTGTTTTCCTGCTTCATAGACGAAAACAACTATGGTCCCTTGTACTACAGCAGGCAGCAGTAATAATCAGATTAAGGTCTGATATACAGATCTGATAAATCTCAATGACAGGCTTTTGATAAAGCAAGAGATGTTAACTGATGCCAATCTGCAATATCACAGAAGTTATAGTGCTCTGTGAATCGTAATGCCCGTGCTTCTTCAAGTGTATGCTTTGAGACACAAATGATTACTCATATGCTGTCTCAGTCAAGATAAATCTAGACAAGTGAACTGGGTTAACGTTTTAACACTTCAAACTCAAAGCCTGGTTCAAATCATGGTTCGAAAGATACCGCACAAGGATGTGTGCTGTACAAATGTTTCTGTCGGTGAAGGGTGAGGTCTTACTACTTCCAGGATAAGAACACAAGGCTGTGTGGTCTGCATATGCTTGCAAGCTGTTTGTTATACATCTATTTGGACATGTTCATCAATTTACACTCTGACAAATCCCCCGCTTATACTAACAACAGTTCATGAAGCTCTTATAAAGTGATAACCAGTCAGCGCTCACCTGAACAGGCCCAATGAATGACGAAAAAAATAAAGAAGGAAGGTTTCAGGTGCCGACTGCAATCCACGTCGCCCGCCTCTCAGACGACAGCAGTGGCATAAACATAACTGCCTCGTCTCCAAGAAAGAATGAATGACAGATAAGGACGGCTTTCCTAAAGACAGACCCACTTCTTATCACTGGAGTTTTTTTTTTCTTTTTTTTTTATCTTGGATAACGTTCCTGCTTACAAGAACGCAGGTAAGCCTGGAAGAATGCCGGAGAATGTTTGTTTGGTTGGTCTACAAACTGTAGCTATCTAGGCTTGGCCGCACGTTGTTCTCAAGTTTCACTTTGTAAGCCCATATCTCTCAAGAGTGCTTTGGGAAGTCATCTTACTTGCTTCTTGCAGCTGAGATGCTATGTGAAAGACGCAGTTCAACGTCAGATAGTTAGGAAAATAAATGGCATGGTGTGCTTTCACGTGCATCCCAGTATGCTTTAGCCGTCTCTGTTAGCAGCGTCAGTAACGGAGAAGCAGGGGTGTGCCTGAAACCCTTCCCCACTTGTCCCCGGCTTTATCACTGATACCATAAGAGTATCTGCTCCCAGACATATGGCATCTTTCTATAGATAATAGCCTTGTATATCAGATGGCTTTCTGCTTTGTTTTTATTTCGCCTAATTTTCTGTTCGTTTATACTACAGTTTTTTTTTTTTAATTGATTCAGGAATGAACATTCAGCTAAAATACAGGTAGCTCAGAAGCTCTTGAAGCTAAACTACTGACTAAGACATATCCACACTCAACTTCAGAAGTATGCAGCATTTCCTCCTCAAAGGCAGGTGAACCGAAGCTGATGTCATGAGCAGTATAGCCGGTGACCCCGCCTTTGGAGTACATTGCTGAGTGCATGGGCAGGACTATTTCTCAAGTCAGAGAGTCAATTGGCTGCCCTGCTTCGGTCATCCAAACAAGGCCTCGCTGGGCCCGAACGACTATGGTTAAAACAATTCCCATGGCTTCAACTTGCCCTCGTTTACCCCACACTACGTAAACCATAGTTTTTCATTTGGGATAATCCCCACATGCATGCCTCGTTTTTATGTGGGAACTGCAATGAGTTCTGTAAATAAGGGCTAGTAGAAGCCACTCACAGTCTTTGGACCTGTGAGGCTATGCACTTCCGTGTAGCAATTCGCATTAAGTGCAACTGTACGTACACATTTCTATTTGCCTGATCTCGTCTGGGTCTTGATTTACTCTTCACATATCAGGTCATACAAAGCAAACAAGCAAGGTTGCCATGATGGAGGGACATTCACATCTTTACAGAAACTTCATCGCTTACATACGGGTGCACATACCTGCGAGGATGAGCATGTCTCGGAGACCGAGCGGCTGTGTTTCAGGTTGAGATTCCTCTGAAGGCTGAACGCTCGACGGTGCCGCTGCAGTTCTTGCAGCCAGTACAAGCTTGCCTGGCGGTCTTTGGCTTCCAAATGGTACTGCCGCTGAGGCGTTCTACAAAACCACCGTGCCAGAAAAATCAAAAAGACATGGTTTGCCTGTTTCGCATAACAAGGGTCAATGAATAAAAGCAAAAAAAAAAAAAAGACTATAAATATAGCACATGTGAAAACATTGTAGCCTGTCAACCTAATAAGATTTGTAGAGTCATCGCAGTTTGCATTTTGGAACGGAAAAGATGCATCGCACCAAAAAAGAGGTGAGATATTTATCAATCTAAAGCATACTAGCGTGAACATGTCTGTAGCAAATTGCAAGTAGTGACCTTGTGACGGCCGGTTCAGAGTTCACGAGACATTCATTATTGTGCACAGTACACGAGCATTTCCAGAATCCTGATGCCATCTGCAGGAACATAATTGAGGTGTTTTTTTTCGTTTCGTCAAAAAAGATGCATTGGGCAGCACACTCAAAAACATTTCTGATCTGTCACAGCTTCATTCCATCACTTCATTGCAAGATTCTGCTCCCAGATCCTGAGTACAGCTACCACAATCCTGGAATGTCTGCCCAAGCATACATGCCTGCTATTGTTGAATTCGCTACTTAATCATGTTGTCTTATCCACTTCTCGTGTTTACAGATCATGAAGACTGGACTGTTCCATGTCTCGAAATCCCATTGCAAAATCTACTTTGGAAGTATTCTAACATAGAAACCTGTATGCATCTTAAGTTTGTAGCAGCACAACACTTTGCATGGGAAAAACGAAGGAAAGTGAACAGCATTCTGTTTTGTCTAGTGTTGCACTGTCACGAAGTTCAAGATGCATCCCAACCAAGTGGCACAACTTGTGGTCTAGCTACGACGGAAAGCAACATTAGATATGCATACAGACATACAACTAGAAAAAGAGTTTTTCGATGATATAGTGTTTTGGAGTTGTCGGTGCTACGTGTGTGATTTAGTCGGTGGTACGCAATAAACAAAAAGCCATGTTTTTTTTTTTTGAAAGCCTCTACTCTCAACCATTGAAGCACCTTAGTGGTGCCACGCATTGAAAAAAAAAAGTAAAATGTAGGCGTTCGCAGGAGCATAATCCAAGGTAGACAGAAATCTGAAGACGCGCAGGTCTCTTGCGCCAAGCTGGTTCTTTCCTTTTTTCGTGGCTCGCAGTTGAGAGGTGTGGCTCGGCGGACGCGTACCGATCGAATAAATAATTCAAGGAATGTCGGCGGGCGGTGAAGGCGCGTGCAACGCGACGGCAAACTCCAAAAGAAGAAACGCCGAGAAGTCGTAGGTGTCGATCGACGAGAGAAAAAAAAGATATTAAAACAAGATGGAGCATCAACTTTCCCGGCGCGGCTTACGTGCGCTGTACGATCGCAGCTCCGGAAGCAAAATGACTTGATTCGCTTCAGTCGCAAACGCTCTTTCATCCTCACCTGTGAACAATCGGTTCGATACGAATCGCGCGATCAATCGATACTGTTATCGATTGTACTTGTGCAACTCGTTTCGTAAGGAAGGCGTCAATGCCAAGAGCTCGGCATGATAGGTTCGCGCGTGTACAGCGACATGGACGTTTCGAAAAGCTCGCTTCTTTTACGTTTCAAACTGACACATGGCAAGCTTCCCTGCCGTAGTAACACGGTATTGCGATCTTCGGCGCAATCACAAACAGCGGGCAGTCAACTTGGCGCTCAAACTCGAAAAGTGTCAGTCACAGACGCGTCACACTGACATCTGGCTATGCTAGCAGGTGGCCGAGCGAGACGAAAGCGATCAGGATCTGAAGTAGGTTAATACGGCGTGGGTCTGCGCTACTCGAGAACCTGTCAAACCACGACAGGAGCTCAGCCGACGCCGCAAGTGCAACTAGCGACTCGTCGGCACGCGTGTGTCGGAGACCGACACCACTTTATGAGAACTCACCGGATCACGAATACCCCCGGCTTTTCCCAGTTCGTAACGTCGAGGTAGAAACTGGCCGACTTGATGTCGATCTCGCCTATGGGGTTCGCGTCGTCCGGATCGCGGTAGTAGTACAGCTTGCAGTTGCTCTCGGCGAACTCGAACCAGCGGCGCTTGTAGACTTTGACCAGGCTCGTGCTGCTCAGCTTGTTCAGGAAGCCGCACAGCTGAATGCTGGGCGCTGCGGACCGTGACGCCGGCGCGGACGCGCTAGGCTGCGACAACTCGCCACCGGCAGCCGCACAGTCGTCTTCGTTGGAGAGGGCGATCACGTTGTTGTCACCACCGTCGCCGCCGCTGCAGTCACCTTTGTCGCTGGCCATTTCGGGCGCATTCCACTGCCCGACAGCGAGGCGCGCAGTCGGGAAAGTAATCGGAGACGGACCGTAGGAAGCCGGCGACACTGACCACCCAAGCAACGTCGACGTCGCCAACGAGACGCGATCGAGACCGCGAGGGGTCACGACGTTACACGTTCGGCTCGGGGAATCGTTTCGTCCTTGGGTGCTGTTGTTTCGAGCGCGCCGCGACACATTATATGGTGCCCCAAGGGGAACTCGGACCGCGCTTACCGTGTCAAGATCCTCGCGATCACTTTCATGTTTACAGCTGCGATGCACACGCCCACGTGCATCCAGTTTTGTCGGCCAATGGGACGATAGCAAGTGTTAATCAGTTTCGTATTCAATATTTATTAATTTACTACTGTTACTGAGACTACTCATGCTTTAGCACTGTAAATAAAATTGGTTTAAATTATATTTAAGTTTTGTTTCAGGTAGCTTAGCTTAGAATACTTAGATACGAGTGTTGCATCAGGGCAAGGACAATCTCGTCGTCTGCTAGCGCAACCGCCATTTTTCTGCATCCGCCGGTCGCAGCTTGCGCGTTGGCGGCAGCAGCGGCGGGGCGCGCCTTCAGTAGGGTCGCTAGAATCCGCCTTAGCAGCGGTGAATCATGCTTCCAGTAAGCGCGGACATTCTACTTTAACTAGGATATATTCATTCCTTTGTTAGAGTGTACGACAAGCAAGAGTGGGTTCAGTGACGCGTCCACCAGTTCGACGATATTATTTTATTATTTCAGTTTCAGTAGTTGGTTACAAGAAGGAATTAGATAACTAATGTGTATATAAGTACGAATGTCCGGCATCTTCACGACCAGTGACACCATTACGTGGCGGCCACATGATTCTATAACGGCAAACTGTGCCAATCATACACCAGGTAATCAAAACAGGCGAAGGGGTACATTTATTTAATTTCTTGGCAAGGTATTCTGTCAGCGAGCGTAGTGGAAATGTGTGAATTGTTTGTTCGGATAAATCAAGTTCCGTTCATCCCTCACATGTTCTTTGAGAACCATTGCTGGCGGCGCCAAGGATGCATCCTTGCATTGAGGACAGAATACGGACTTCAAAACTCTTTTTAGGATCAAACATTCAAGATCATCTGAAATGCATATTCTGTTGACGTCAGCGCTTCAATGAATAAAATCTCAGCATCGTGCATTTTTTCATATAAATTTTCTGCTAAATCAACGGTATCGAACAAAGTGACACGAATGTATTTCACATAAGGCCTTAATTTCACATGCAAGTGTGACATTGTGGTGCAATTCCACTCCAAATTATTTTATCTTTATGCGCATCTTCTATTACGTATGTGATGAGTTAGAAAAGGTGTCTTCAATAGCATGCTATTTTTTGCGTAATGAAACCTACAAAGAACTTTAATATAAAACAACGTGGTGATAGCGAGCATAAAAAACATCCTAACAAACCACACGTTAGATTTCCTGAAATTACCCGTATATGGAGCTCCTAAATTTGGGTTTCTTAAAAATTGGGGAAACGTTTTTTTTATATGTACAAACAACTAGAAGGTTTCTAAGCGCCAAAATCAGTTCCAGAAAGTCGTCACATGATGAACGGCTTTCACAAAAACATTCAACAGAAGAACACAGCCCACACTTATTTACGAAATGGCCTTGTGGGAGCAAAATACTTGTGTAAGTGAATGATTGAAACAACTTCATTTCGCCCACAAAAAACGTGAGTTAGCTCGACGTTACCTGGCTAGGCCCCGCCGCGGTGGTCTAGTGGCTAAGGTACTCGGCTGCTGACCCGCAGGTCGCGGGTTCGATTCCCGGCTGCGGCGGCTGCATTTCCGATGGAGGCGGAAATGTTGTAGGCCCGTGTGCTCAGATTTGGGTGCACGTTAAAGAACCCCAGGTGGTCGAAATTTCCGGAGCCCTCCACTACGGCGTCTCTCATAATCATATGGTGGTTTTGGGACGTTAAACCCCACAAATCAATCAATAAATTACCTGGCTAGGTCCAGTCGGGCAAGGTCAGGTTAAACGTGACCGCCCTCACGTGGGCGCTCTGTGCGGCCAGGTCCTGGGCCTTAAAGGAACACTGAAGTCAAGTGACAATTTTCGTCAGAGTGAAAGCTCAGTGTATGAGAACATCTAAAACGACAAAATTATCAATAACACTGCCTTACTTACCGAAAAATTAAGGTAAATGCACAAGCATGCATGCGCCGCAGTAGGACATTCTCAGAATGATCCCGATGACATCAGACGGTCCACCTACAATTAATCACTAGTAATCGATCTAGCTTCCCTAAATAAATAGCTTTCCGTGCATCAAGCGACGCAATCAAATGCTGCATATTTGTTTCTGTTTGATTCATAGAAAAAAGAACCGCCGGACGTTACTATGGAGAATGGCGCGAGTGGTTCGAAAATTCAATTTTCGTGTAGTTACACTGGACAGGTGGTGCCGTCTAGCGGGGCCCAGTGGAACCAAGAAACGTCTGCAACCTTGGAGCCAATGGCGGAAAATTTGTCATTGGTTTGTTGCTGCTGTGGCTCCCGCTGCTTTCGGTTTGCTGCTACTAAGTAAAGCCGGGCAACGTTGTGCACGGTAACAGTGACGTGAGACGGTCCGGTCGGTCCGCTTTTTGAGGCGGGTAATTTGAAGTGCACTAGCCCGATGCGAACCACTAAAACGTGATTTTATTTTAAAATAGGCCTTTTCTTGGCACAAAAGGGATACTACGGGGTTTCTGGACCATTATTTCAACAAACAACGTTGATTTATTAGTTGACTTTAGGGTCCTTTTAATGAGATTTTTCATTTCGTGTTGGTGGAAAGGGGGACCGGCAAAGCCGCAGCCCCACAATACATGCTCGAAGCCTGCATAACCATCACACAGAGGGCAGTACGAGATTGGGAACCGTTCGGGGTCGGTTATAGGTGCTTGCTTCGAGCAATCTGGGAGTGACAGCTTGGGCACTGCACAGCGAGGAGTGTGTTTGGGGCAGCACTCTACTGGAGAAATGATGGTGCTTGCATATATCTCGTTGTACGAAAAAAAAAGGGGAGTGGTGAGCCATGCATGCGCACTTTCTGTATAGCGCGTGTGCGCTTGGTTACGTGCTCAGTCTTCGTTGTCTGTCATCTTTGTGAACTTTGCAGCGCTGACTTCACCTTCCGTTGTGCAGCCGCACTTTTTCGCTTGGTTTCTGTGCTCCAGTACGTGTTCTGTAGATTCGTGCTGTTGCGCATAAGTCATCGTCAATATGGTTTTTGTGAATTTGCATCACTAAAAGAGGTACCTACAACTATCTTGATGCGACGAAGTTGCAATCGTACGTTTGTGTTGTGCCTGAAAGTGGTGCAAGCTCAACAAACAGTGTGCGCGAGTGTGAAGTTCCGAGTTCTTCCCTGCTGTCTTTGTTTCCTTTTTTGTACTCGGAAGAAAACGTGGGCACGACGACAACCTAACATAAGAATCTGTATGCGATGATCTGTGACTTAATTGGCTTGTTTTAGACTCTATTAATAAAAATAAATGCTGTCTCGCCTTGAGCTTTGTTCCGGAACTATACAGCCGCCTTTTTTATATATGCGAAGCAGCTCTTTGACTCACGTGTGTAATGCCATACGTGCGTGCGTCCGTACGAACGCGCGTGCAGCCAACTGTCGACAATATACCGTAAAGTCGCGCGTACAAAAATAGTTCGACGGCTGCGACTTATCCCGCTTAATTTTCACAATCTACAGGAGCCGTCTTGTTTTAGTTCGCGAGGAAACATTCCGAAGTTTGTTATAGTATACGGAACGTAGCACCAAAGCAATCTGTATACCAGATATAGTACTCAGGTGCTATATATTGTATAATGAATTTATACCTATAACTTATTGGCGAAAGAGCGATCCCGCAGCTTCAGAGCGGGAAAACGCCCTTGGAAGCGCTTGAATAGAACGTTCTTGAAAGACTTGAATGGAAGTGCTCGAACCATGAGTCCATAGGTTTCGACGTCCTATAAACCAATGGTACAACGATCTTGAACTCTAGAATAAGTCCCGTTATGTTAGGCAGTCAGCATACTCTGTTAGATGTGGAAATCTCATGTCAGCCGGCGTAACGTGGCGAAGCTCATAGCGTCTCGCTTCTAGACGCAACGAAAGTTCGTGCGATTTCACCAACGACTTATTTGCGGCATCTGACCCCGGTTCCATCACAGACTGTATTTTTCCTTGACTATCACAAAGGCTACACGTTTCTCTCCATTTCCTTTAGTTAAAACTAAGAGAGAGATATATATAAAGATATGATGCAGAAATGCAGAGGGGTTCAAAAGGGAAACAAGTATTTGGTTGGCTACCATGACTGGGGAGTTTGACAGTAACTTTTTAGTACAAGCAGAGTCATTAGTACAAGACGACAAGAACTAACGTAATTTTATTTCGTCACACACCCCATTGTTTAAAACACGCACAGACAGACGGACGGACATACGCATGTATTCGTTCCGCTCTTCAAATGGTATGACCACCCCTTGAAGAGTATTTTCTTTACAGGGTTGTATACGTGAGAATATTTTAATGTCCCTGCGCAACTTATCGCACTCTTTAGCACGTGTCTACCATTTTGGATACGTTTTCTATACTAAGCATTTCCATATATAGCTTTTCCCAGAGCACCTCTACACACTGAAGGCCATAAGCCGTCATTAGCCTTTATCAATTTACTAAAAAAAAGGCAGGTAATGACAGTGGTTTAGCGGTTCTATTAACATAGCTTTACGCGGAAGTGCGCTGTTTCGTCGAGCACGCCGCTGCATATAAATTAGTCAGAATCACAGGGAACCATGGTATACACGCGCGCGCACAGTCATACACAGCTATACTGTATTTAATGCGGGCGCACCACAAGTATAGCGGCGGAAGCCTCCCGGCTGTCAAGGCTGCCGGCGTGATGGGGCGATTGGCTCCAGCAGGTGAAACACGCCGAAGAACAATGAGGAATACGGCGCCACTTCTATTTGGAAATCGTGCTCCGAACGCTTCAACAGGCACGATGATTGCGTCCGCGTGGCGTTCGTATCGATTGCGAGTGTGTGGGTTGGTACAAACACGCAGGAATGCCGCAGTTGTTGATTGCTACGTTTGCGCTCTGTTTCTTTCTTTATTTCTTTCTTTCGCTCTGATTACTTGTCGTTCTGTACGTGTTTCTATAGTGTAATTAAAAGTAGCCGATGATGATTGTTATGCAGCCTCGGTAGCACAGGGCGCAATGGTGCCCCGCCGGGGTGGTCTAGTGGCTAAGGTATACTCGGC